ACACTCTGATCTACAGGTAAACAGCACAACACAATACACCGTTAACTGAAGCGTGTGTGAGTGTGTTGGCAGTGCTGCACTGTGGTATATGCAGACGCTCACCCTCTGGGATCAGCAGTATGAGCAGCAGCACCAGTCCTCCCAGTGCCAGTGTGGAGGCCAGGCAGTGTCGGCGGGGCGCCAGCCGGAGCATCAGCCACGCCATCAGCAGCGCCGGCACCTCCACCACCGCTGACAGCAGGCAGTTCAGGTAGATGTTCCCGTGCAGACTGGAGGTGTTCAGGGAGAGAGCACAGTACCCGATGGAGACCGCCATCCTAAAGGAGCACAACACACACACACACACCCCACATTCAGACAATCAGCTTCATTTGCAAATATTGCACAGCGTCTGATTCACTAAACACACAAACTCAGCTTCGACACATTTTCACACACTGAGTATCATTCCACCAATATTGCAGAGTAAAAACATTTGAGTAAGAACAACATAAAGGTCAGATGAAGTGTTTTAGATGTTAGTATTAGTATTGTTCGTTTTTAGCATATCTATAATCTTGTGCAAAATAGTGACAAAATTCATGCTTCGATATAAAACAGATATGAAAGCTTGCAGTTAGTCTCTTCTAAATGCATTATCAGTTTTATTCTCGTTTCCTCGTACTTCAATTTCTCATCTAATCTTCTGGCCAATCAAATGCTCTCTACTATCTGACACATTTGATGCGCTTGAGCTCAAACACTGTCACTGGCTGAGCGGTGGAAAAGCAAAATGTGATTGACTGACTGGTAAAAAGGGGAGGAGCTATTATATGCCCCGCCCTCTCTTGACGTGTCAGTTGAGATAGCTTCAAACATCGAATAAGAAATGCACTTTTCAAAGCCCTTCATGGAGCCTTTAGGCAACATCTCAGAGACAGACATGCCCGCTGTGTTTAGATCAGTCCTTTCACATTTTTCTCATGTGAGGAAAACTGATACAATATTTATATAATACTAAAACACTGCAAAAGCCCCTTAGCATGAGAACAAATAAGAAGTAACATAGAAAACAAACAGTGTGTGTGTGTGTGTGTGTGTGTGTGTGTGTGTGTGTGTGTGTGTGTGTGTGTGTGTGTGTGTGTGTGTGTGTGTGTGTGTGTGTGTGTGTGTGTGTGTGTTTCTCACCAGATCAGACACAGCAGGCCGGTCATATAGCGGATGTTGGAGGATTTGAGCAGCTCACACACACTGAAGCTCTGCACGCCTCCGGCATCTTCTGTAGACTGCAGACGCACGTGGAACAACAAACACGCTTTATTTCACAGCGAGAAAAACAAGTCTCAAATCAAACACTGCACATTAGTGTGAGCAAAAGATCATCTGAGAGCCACAGCTACAAAAATACCAAGAATCCTTATTCGGACAGTCATAACAACCTCCAACAGCGCTGACAGTCTTTGGGTTAATGATATAAGCCAGTGGATTTACACTGACAATATACTTGAGTCTAAGACAAAGAAGAGCTTTTCCAGCATCAACTCAATCGATGTGTAATAAAGCTCTGTTCTCTTAACATTACAGGGACCTGTTGAGTTTCAAGTTGATTTTATCAGAATGGCTGTTGTCTAATTTTCAGACAGGCCTCAGAAGTCAATGAAATGTTTTCTGTGTCTAAAGCATGTCTGTCATATTTACAGTAATTGACATTATGGTGTCTGTGAAATTAACACAGTTTGGCTCAAAATATCGTTAACTATCATCTGAAATATTGTTCCTTGTTTGGTTTTTCTATATTTTGACATTTATTTGACTGTCTTTGAATACTTGATATTAAATGTGCTTTCAATCCTAATAAAATCATTTTAATTTAATCTGAACACAAAAGTGATGATTCGGCTTTACTAAATGACTAAAGTACCAGCAAATGATGAAACTAATCCCAAACCAAACACTACACCAAAACTAGGATGCTGGTACTTGTGTTTATAACATGATATTTCAATACCATTTCATTTGTTTAATTTGAACTAATTGCAGTTTTAACCATTACTTCAAACCCAATGTGTCAAACCAGAGTACTGAAGTGTTCCTCAGGACTGTACGGTTGAGTCGGCCGTTGTGTTCTCAAAAGCAGCGAACAAAAACATGAAACGTGAATGCAGATTTGCTGGAAACAGTAAAACACGACCTGCGTATTGTCCAGCATCCCTCTGTCATAGCTGGACGTGTTGTGATTGCTGTATCGTATCTTCAGTATTCAGTTTTTCAGCATTGATGAGTTTTATCAAGCGGTGTCGGCTCTGCTGATGTGAGATGGAGGATGTAGCCTACATTATGGGCTGGTTCAGGCAGTTTTATTCACAGACAGGTGTGTACTGACCTGCATCAAGGGGAAGATGACGTCCGGAGCTGTAACTCTGTTTATCTTTGCTGCTTTTCTGATGATGGCTTCCGCCTCCTGGACCCGGCCCTGAGACAGCAGCCAGCGCGGAGACTCGGGAATAAACCTGAACATAACGACAACAACAACTGACTCTCTTCATCATGATCATCAGCTGCAGATAAACTGAGGGATATTCTAGGATTCCTACAGGTCACTGTTTAAACTGATAAAGATTTAAAGACTGGCATGTTGTGAGCTGTGAACAGTTTTTGTTGATCACAGCATTCATCAGATGCAGAACACAGAGATCAAGCACATGTTCAGCAGTCAGACCTCAGTGATACATGTTCAGGTCTGTGCTTTGACTGACTCCATCTTATTTGTCTAGTCCAATAAAGTGCTTTGATTGTATGGCCTTACACAACAAATGCACATTATATTACACCTTAAAGGCAAAACGCATTACATTTCAAACTCAGTATAGCACACTCAGAGCCATCTTCAGATCATCAATCAAGGAACTGCAAAGATTTGCCAACTTTTATAGAAATTCCATCAAAGGTTTCAGTTTTATCGCAGCACTCTTGACATCCATGCAGAAATACAGAATTAAGTACAGTAAAACAGTACAGTAACCCTGTCTCCTGTCTTTATCAGCATTACAAGCTGTTCCAGATCTGATTGTTATCTGCCCTATGCTTCACTATCCTCCTCCTGTTAGTCATTGTTGTCAAAGTCCAGTCTCAGAGAATTACACAACATATGCATTACAGCCAGCAGAGCTCCTGCTGGAGTCACTGAACACTGCAGATGAACACAGGAACATCTCGAGACCCTCAGCAGACCCAGCCGCTTTACTTCTGCTCTCTCCTCATGTTTCCATAGACTTCTTCATCATGTTTCTCCACATTGTCCACCATAGTAAGCTGCTGCTGCTCCTCACACGGCTGAGCATTTCTGCAGATTTGTCATCAAGTTCAGTGGTGGACCAGAAGATCCTGCAAGACTTCCTAATTAAATTCCAGTCCTCCAGACCAGCACAGAGGATGTGTTGAAGAAGCCGACTCTGTTCATGATATTGAGGACACATCATGCAGACGTGAGCACAGCGCTCGCTCTATAATCCCAGAAGACCTCGCAGATAAATACAGAACAAGGAAACACAGCACTTCTCTATTCACCATTATTACAGTTCAGAGATATCACTGGTTCATATTGATAAACCAATTTCCCACCACAAACATGCACATGACCATTTAATAAAGCTGTAATCATGTGGAAAGAGCTTTATTCATGTGAAATTCATAATAAAATTACTTTTGCTTGAGTTATCCAAATGATCTAAAGCAGAGGTCACCAATCTCTGTCCTAGAGAACCGGTACCCTGCAGGGTTTAGCTCCAACTATCCTCAACACACCTGCCTGGATGTTTCAAGTAAACCTAGCAGACCTTGATTAGCTTGTTCAGGTGTGTTTGATTAGGGTTGGAGCTAAAATCTGCAGGACACCGGCCCTCCAGGAATAAGTTTGGTGACCCCAGCTCTAAACCTTTTGATGTGTTATCCAGATTGAAAATGAACACATCAATAGATTGTTTCCTGAAAGTTGTAATGCTGACATTATTTTACTCGTGAAGGTCATGTGAGCATCAGGGAGACTGCAGCATCTTTTTGCTTATATGTTCTGGAGGTCTTCAGTTTGTTCTTCTGAGGTAATCTGGAAAGATGACTCTCCATGAGGTGGATCTCTGCGTTCAGGACCTCCTGCATCTTCAGTTCACCTCACTGAACACATCCACAGGAGTTTCAGTGGGACTGTAGATTTGCTCTGGGTAAAGCACACCAACAACTGTCCTGGCCTTCTGAAGCCCTGCTGATCCTGACTGTAGAGGAGGGAACACAGCTGTCTGGACCCTGCCACTTTACCCTTATGTGTCGTGGTATTGGAGGCCCAGCACAGCTCTTGTCTGGTCATGTAAGTTTCTCTTGTCTTTGTCTTGTAGTGAACCTGCGGTCTCAGGTGATCTCCGTTCTCTCTTCTTTGTAGTGGGTCTGTGTTCTCCAGCAGGCTGATGTATTCTCCAGTCCCACCCTGTCCTGTTATGAATCGTGATGTTCACCTGCCCTGTTATCAGTTTATTCATTTCCCTATGTATGACTATACCCAGTGTGCTCTTGTGCGTCTGTTTCAGTCAAGTCTAACCTGTTTGTGCGCTTGTTGTTGTTTTCCCCCTGCGGGGTTGTCGGAGTTGTTTTTTTGTTTTTCTATTGCATCAATAAAGTCCCAGTTGGGTCCTCGCCTCATCTTCCTTCACCCCAACCCTAATAACACCTGGAAAATTCACAGACACACACACACACACACGTCTCCAGAGACTCAGATAAAGGTCTCCTATAGCAAATTTCCTCAATCTGCCTTTTACTCAACCCTTCTCACCTACTTTACACCTGTGTTTTGTGTTTTATTGGAGACCAATGAAGATGCAGAGGAGCTCCTCTGCTGCAGGTTAGACAGACGTCTCCACATCTCCAGAGTTTCTGCAGTTTCTTCTGGACAGGGAGAGTCTGGCCAGATGAGCAGTTCTGGGGTCAGTGTGTGTATATCTCAGAATCCACAGCATCTTCCTGATTGATCTGCTCTTCAGCTCCAGGTAAACCCTGCTAATTACTATTCTTTTCATATTAGTAAAGCTGCATGTGGATCACAGCTCCTGTACACTTGAATCAAGTCAAGTCAAGTCAAGTCAAGAACTTTAATTGCCATATATACCCACCCTGCCATTACAGAGGGATTCCTGATGTACAACCAATATGTGCAGCCTGTAAACTCAATTCTCAATAGCCAAAGAATAAAATAAAAAAACAAAATGAGCACTTATTGCAGAGGTGAACATGACAGTCTGACAGTGTGAACAGCATCTCTCCACCTCGCCCTTTAATAATGAGGATGAGGAGGAGGAAGAGGAGGAGGTCTTCCTGTCTATGATGATCTCTCTGGTGTATTCTACATTGAGGATGAGGTTGTTGTTCTCTCCATAGACAATGACATCTTTGACTACATCCCTATACGCCTCTTTTTCCTGATCTCATATTTCAGCATATTTGATGACGATAGTGTCATGCCGGGATCAAACACAGTCATTTGTATAGAACGTTAAGGCTAATTTATACTTCTGCGTCAAACGCCGGTGTATGCTACGGTGCTGACGCACAGCCCTTCGCCATGGCTGTCGGCGTCGCTGACGTGCACCTTTAAAAAAATATAACTACACGTCGCAACAACGCGTAGTGCAAGCCCTGTGATTGGTCGGCTTGGTAGCCTTGACGAATCGGGGCGGGACCGAGAGCCGCGCGAATGGTGCGAGCCTGATGGAGCGATTGTTTACAAGTGTGGAGTGCCGTGAAGGAGCTCCGGATGGAAAGTTTTGTTTTGTGTTTACCTCATAGTTAAAGTTGTTGCACGTCCGCCAGTTCCTGCCTCAAAATGAGCGAGTTTGAGCCACTTGTACATCCCGGAAGCATTAAGGAAAAGCAAAACAGCAGAGAAGAAACTCGACACAGAGGAACATTTACACCTCACTGCCAACTAGCGTTTCGGAAGTGTTAATGCAGACCAACAGAGACAGCGTGCAGAAGTTTATATGCACAGCTACACGCGTTGCATGCGCCGTGGATTACGCCGATCGCTTGACGCAGAAGTATAAATCAGGCTTGAATAGTTTGGGCTGAGACAGCAGCTCTGTGGTGAACCTGTACTGACCATAAGCTCTACTGAGACTTCTCCTCCCATCCTTACCACCTGTGCTCTATTGCTGAGGAAGTCCAGAATCCAATGACAGGTGGTGGTCGGCATACCAAGGTCATGCAGGTTCACAGTCAGCTTTTGTGGGTGGAGGATATTTAGAGCAGAGAGATAGTCCAGGAAAAGCATCCTTGCATATTTTCTGCTGCTGTCCGGGTTTACCAGGAACACAGCATCATCCACAGATCTTTTGGGACAATAGGCAAACTGTAGTGGATCAACAATGTGGGATCACAGTGCTGATGTAGGTAAGAATGAGTTTCTCTAGACATTTCATGGCAACTGATGTAAATGCCACTGCTCTGGAGGGATTGTATGCAGTGTTTTTGGGGGACACTGTTTCTGTTCATGACTGATTAAAATGATCAGTGTTCACACCTGCTGCTTGTTCTGCACTGACTGTCAGGACTCCAGCTGAAACACCATTCAGACCTGCAGTATAAAGTCCTCGGGATCACAGGGGGCTTTGTTAGGGATGTCTGCTTTGTTATGATCATAAAAACTGTTAAGGCTATCAGGAAGTGTAGGATCCTTGACCTCCATGGCTGTACTCCTCCTGTAGTTTGACAGAATACCCTGCCACAGCTGCATGTGCTGTTTGTCAGATAATGTTCTTCAAGCCTTTGGTAGTATACCAACTTTAAAGGGTCACGAAACACCAAAACACATTTTTTGAGCTGTTGACAGTCGTATATGTGTCCCACACTGCTAAAAACACTATTAGGACACCTATATTTCACTAAAAAGTGTAAATTGGTTGTTTTTGCGTTATTTTAAGCAAATTCGTACTTCCTGTTTGAAACGAATTTTTGAAGCTGCGTCACGGTCATGACATAATAGTGTGTATTCCAGCGTGCAGACTGGGCGTCTGTGCCAGAGTGAGTCTTATTACGTCTTACAGTGTGTTGCATTAATGCATGAGTAAGGCTTGGGTCAAACCAATCAGCGCACTCTATTGTGCAACTTCATTAATATTCATTACTATCACCGTGTTTTCAGGACAGAGACGCCACGTTGTGTTGGCAAAACAAGCGTGAAGTGTTGCTTTTATAGTTTGCTGCAGTTAAGTTTCGTTTTCATTTTCTCTCTGTGAGAGCTCAGACTCACGTGTGGATTACAGTGTATGCGACGCGCGACAACAATAACTTACGTGTCTAAGGAGAATTATTGTTTACCTGAGAGCTGTTCTCATCTGCAAACGCTGAGATCTGGAATCGTTTGTAGTATTCTCTTCATAAAGACGCGGCTCTAGTAGTTGCTGGTGATTGTCCTGTCTCTACAGATTTGGTAAGTGAGCGACCAGTGCTCTTTGTTTATTCAGTTTGTTCGTATCTAACAAACTATTGCACAGAGTGTAAACACGTTAGCACCACAACCAAACTTTAACCTCGTGTAGGGTTTTTACCGCATTTAGTGACCGGAATAACACGCGCGGCTTTCTGACACTACCTGTCGTGTGCATCTAAGTTTCTGGGAAATGCGGAGGTTTTTTTCTCTCATTCGCCGTGCGGTATAAAACATTGCATGAAAAATACACGCTTAGAGCAGCTCCTCGAATCAAATATCTCGTGTGTCGCGAGGGGCATGAATGAATTCCCTGAATGAAAGAGCCAAACTGCAGTTAAAGTCCACCATTTAATAATTTGGCTAATAATTCGACTACAGATGTCCATGTAGGTTAAACACCATCACATTCTCCTGTATGTATGTGTGTGTGTGTGTGTATTTTGACTCTGAAACTTGCGCGTGCCCAAATCGACACTCCCACACCCTCCCACTTTAGTTCCTCCGACACTCCCCCCTAAACAGAGCTGGACACGCCCACTTTTCTGACTTTTTCCAAAGAAGAGGTGTTAAAACACCCTGCTGAAACGAGGGGGTTTCATGGCCCTTTAATGGACTTCCTAAGCTCATACTGGACCCGTTTATACTCCTCAATCAGGGTTGTTGGTTTAGGAAGAGCTGTACAGTTCTGGAGGGGAAACAGATCTTCATGTAGTCATCAGTGTGGTCTGTAGCATCTTTATAAAGGTCCGTGTCTGTGATCTGCAGGCGGCTCTGGAGGTTTGCCAGTGCAAAACAAACAACAGCATCAGCCTCTCAGAGCTCTGCGGCGCCGCACACACAGGGAGCACTGTACTTTACACTTGAGCTTCAGTGATTAAATCTAAATATTCAGTCATCAATGTCTACTTATGATTAAAGCATATAAATCATGTACTGTACATGTGTTTTAGCAATACTTTAAAAAAGCCAGAGGCTTTAGCTGAGTAGACCTTCTAGATGAACAGTAATCTTGCAGATTTCCTAAAAAATGTATTCATTTGTGTTCAAAATTGAGCACATTTCTCCAGCATTAGGGATGAGGCTGGCGCTCGACGCTTTAAGCACTATCAGATCTGTGCAGGACAGCAGTTGTGAGGTTAGATTTTGAGCATAATTTGTCTCAATTAAATCTGCTTTTCTGCAAATGTATTCTTTGACAAGCAAAGATTTAATATACAAGAATGCTTCAAACAGCTCTGTGGGTGTCTGTGCACAGTTCCTTTTACCACCACAGGGGGATGTAGAAGAACCCGGGGATGGTGAGGGCCAGCATCAGAGATCTCCAGTCCCGCAGGAAGAAAGCGGCCAGCGGGAGAATCATGTAGCCGATGGAGAAGAACAGACACACACCCAGAGTGGAGTACACGTCCCGAACAGACGAGCTCAGAATCTCCATTCCTGGAAACCGCATTGGAGAACAGGTTTAGCTGCTGACATTCATTACTGTACATTCTGAGACAACAGCATGCATCTGTACTGCAAAGACTAAAGAGGTGTTAGTTGAACAAATGTGCTGAGCAATATGCTCTATTTTAACAATCACTCATGTATTTTGATCTACTTTGTGTCTGTGAGGATATAATGATGAGTTGTGATCATTTAATGATAAAGTCAAATGTCCCCAAAATTCCAACAGGCCTTTACCTAAAACAAACGCTGCCACATAGTTAGAAATTTGACCCATTCCAACAATGAAAAACAGCAAACAAAAAATCTGCCAAGATGGAGAGAAGACTTGAACGACGGTGAACAGCGTCTGAATCGCCATCGTCACGAACAGCACGATTTTCCTGCCAAACCTAAAAACCAAAAGCAAAGAAGTTTATTTTCAATAGGCAAATAAGAGTAATTTATTTAGAAATATATATGTGTATGATGTTTTAGTTAAACACTAGCTTTCAGCACAACGACTAAATAGCACAGGGCCATCTGCAGTCCGCATGTTCTTCCCGTGTTGGCGTGGGTTTCCTCTGGTTGCTCCGGTTTCCCTCATAGTCCAAACCCATGCGCTATATGTGTGTGTGTGTGTGTGTGTGTGCGTGTGTCTGTGTGTGTGTGTGTGTCTGTGTGTGTGTGTGACTGTGTGTGTGTGTGTCTGTGTGTGTGTGTGTGTGTGTGTGTGTGTGTGTGTGTGTGTGTGTGTGTGTGTGTGTGTGTGTGTGTGTGTGTGTGTGTGTGTGTGTGATATGAGTGAGCAGCTGTAAGCAGGTCTCCACTGATGTTTAATCTCATCTCAGTCAGCGTGCTTCACCAAACGTGCTAAACAGAGATGTGATTTCACATTTAGCCACATGGCTAGCGTTCACAATCTACCTCTGCTCAGATCTGCTGAAGACACAATATATGACAGAGGAGCGATGAGGAAAAACACAAGGTCACATGCAGGATCACAGCTGGAGGACAATAAAGCATTTTGCAAAGTGCTGCTGCTGCTGTGGCAGAGGTTTGGTCTTGGTTTGTGTTTAATGCTGTGGTGAAGTCTCTTTAATAAGAGATCTGCTCTATAACTCGCATTAGGGGAGCTGCTGTGTGTGTTTTCAGTTCTGCCTGTAAGTCAGATCAGAGGAGGAGCAACTCACAACAGCAGAAAACCGGCAGAGCAAGGAGTTCATTCCTGATGGAGTCTGAAGAGCGTGTTTAATTCAGCGTTCATGACTCCAGACTCTCAGCTGTGTGTCTGTATGTCTAAACCTGATCAACTGTTAAATAATAAACACATGTGCAGAGCAGAGAAACACACACACACACACACACACACACACACGTGGGAGAGGAGATTTGACGATCCTCACCTGTCCGACACTGGACCGGAGATCACAGAACCAGTCAGAACACCACAGAAGAAGATTGAGGAGGTCAGTGGAGATTTCCAGTCATCCGAACACACCAAGTCCCACTGTCAGCACACACACAATGCACATTACTCAATTACTACATCCGCTTGTACAGGGAATCATTAGCACACTCAATCATCTCTGTAAATGCACAAACATGTCATATTCTGTGGATGAAGCACTTTTAATAATAAAACACTGAGCCGTACACAACTCCCAGCACCGGCGAACAGTTCAACAAACACTGAAGTGTTCTCCGTGTGTGTTCATCATCATAATAGACAGCAGTGTTCCTCCAACATCTTAACCACTTGTCTTTTTTAATGAACATTCATGTTTAACATCCTCATAGTGTTTTCCTCATGACTGAGCAGCAGTCTTCAGCTAAGAGTCGTTTTGAAATGTAAACACTCAGAGTAATGCATTAATGCTGGAAATATATAAATATTACAATAACACTCTTATTTGACTAGCTGATGCTTTTACCTGCAGGTTTAATTTGAATCTGAGTTCGTCTTATTGTTTAAATTAAATATTAGACAGCCTGTAAAGCTGATCTCACATACATGAAGTGAAACTGATCAATTATTCAATCAACACTCTTCAATTCGGCTACATTAAACATAACATGTAATATCGCCATGTGTTGAGCCTGATTTGACTCAACTTTGAAGACAGAACCCTGCACATGTGTAATGGTGTTGCAGTCTACACAGATTCATTCCCCGTAATGTCATTACTCCAACACCGAGACACTTCTGCAGGAGTAAATCTCCGCTATATCGAGTAAAGCAGACAGAATAACCGCAGACACGCACCTCCGACACTATGGTGGAGCTGTAAATCTCTTTATCGTAGATCCAGCCGTCCGCGCACTCCTCCCGGGGGATCTCCGACACATTGACGTCCAGTCCGGGCAACAGACCACCGTCCGAGTAGTTCTTCACCAGGTCTAGTCGGAGTCTGTAGCACCTGCTGGCACGCGGGTCTCCGTGCGGCTGTGGTCGCGGCACAGACGCGTTTCTCCAGCCCGCCGTCAGGTTCAGCGTCTCGGGGATCCGGCAGTGATGGGCCGGGGTGTCACCCAGGAACACGATGGATAAACCGGTGAATCCGTTCGGGATGATGCTCAGACACAGCAGGCTAAAGACGGTCTTCTGGAACGGGCCCCAAGCGCCCAGGAACGCGGTTTGCTCCTCGTAGTCCTGGAGGTTCATAGCAGCCGAATGAAGAGCGACTCCGGCGGCTGCGGAGCTCCAGAGCCCGCGGTGGGCGGAGGGAGACCGGGAAGACCAGCATCACACACCGCCCAGAGCCAGAGGAGGAACATGGTCTGATCATCTATATTTATCTGGTATGATCAGTATTCATTATTATTATTATTCTTTATTCATTCATTATGCATCTGTTTTTATACTGATGCTCATTATTCATCTGTCATCATACTGATCATCTTCATCTGTCATCTCTGAGAGTGTTCAAACAGAGACATCTCTCTGATCTGTTTTTGCTCATCAGCATTTAATAGAGATCTTTTGAACAGAATATATCTTTAAAATGTTTAAAATGTGGAATGATGGGCGATACCAGGTAAAAAAAAAAACAGCTTAAAACAGCCTAACCTGCTGCTTTCAGCTGGTCCACCTGCCTGGTTTATAGGGGTCCAGCAGATGTTTTTAATAACTAAACGGCAGCAGGTAAAATCTTGCCTAGGGCAGCAAATTGACCAGCACCTCACACACATACACACACACACACACACACACACACACACACACACACATTTTGTTTGTGCAAGGTTCCTCTGTTTGAAAGTTGTGTTTGTTTTCCAAATTGTCTGTGTGGAGTTTGCATTTTCTCCCCGTGCTGGCGTGGGTTTCCTCCAGGTGCTCCGGTTTCCCCCACAGTCCAAACACATGTGCTATACGTGTGTGTGTGTGTGTGTGTGTGTGTGAATGAGTAGTTCAGCATTAGGTTCAGGGTTAAGCTAATGCCCAGTTTATGTGAAGACTATGATCAGTATGGAGTATCTTCATGGAAACCCCAACTAAACGAACGTGCTTCTGATGTATTCAGGCTATACAGCAATAAAATGAATTGTTCATCCCATTAAACCGTCCGTCTGCTGTGCTCCAGAAGCTCTGTCTAAAGTCTGATCTGCTGTTACTCACATGCTGCTTTCAGGAACGGTCTGTTTGCACGGTTAATGTGTAGCTTGTTGTTTTCTACAGCTCGACTAAAACACTCTTTAATTATTAGACAGTGTTGTTGATTTCATCACGGCTGTCGTCAATTATGATCCTCATAACTGCACTTTGATCAGCAACATCACGTCTTCAATCATTATATTCCCATGAGCAGAGTTCCTCCATATCCTGAAGCTGGAAGTAACTGCAATAGTGCTGTAAACACAGCGGTGTTCAGAGCTCATCACCTCCACCAAAGAGGAGTTTTAGTTATCAAACAGTTATTAACTCAGACTAGCATTAATCTAAAAGATATGCTAAATGTAAACATATTAACAGGTGCATATTTAGCAGACATTACTGCAATCTGACATAACTGAGCAGTCAGTAAACTGAGGAGTGTGAACATGTAAGACACACGTGTGGAATAAAGCCATCCACACACACACATATCACAAACCATGTAAACAATACAGCAAATAAATAAATCAATACAGCAACTCAAAGATGACAGGAGCTGGATGGGAAATGAGCTGCATTATCTGTACAGTGTTTTTATTGAATTATTTATCCAGTTATAATTTGACTTCCTGCAGAACTTTGCTCTTGTCCTCAGTGCTCGCTGCAGGGGGTTTCCTACATCTCCTCAGCCTAAGAGAGATCAAGATAATGTAATCAAATCTATTAAACATGTCAATCCAGCAGTTCCCATTGTACTTTAAGTGGCCTTAATCACTAAATTTACTTGAATAATTAGGTACAATAACACACTTATATATTACATTTGATCTGCATGTGATTACATCTTTAATAATTTCTGCTTCATCATTTATAATGTTGCTGCTGACCATCACTTACCCCACCCCCCCACGTCAACACACACACACATACACACACACACACGCATGCACACACACACACACCACCACCACCAAAGCTGTGCAACTCACCCACATCACCTCCTCAAGAGCACCAGAAGGCTTGTGCCGTACATTATGAACACAATCAGTATTGTTCTTCTTTTAATGTAAATATCCAGCAGTTAAGGCCACTTAATATACAGCAGGAGCACTACAGCTATTTAAGATCAGACTTTCAGCACATGCAGGCTGTCTAAGAGCACAAACACACAGAACTGAAGTTAGATTAAATCTCCACATGACATGCAGAAGAGCCATGTAGCCCCAGTCAGTGTTTACAGTAGTTTACTGCAGCAGGCCGGTATATTTACCCTCGTACGCTCTGCATCTGAGCGATGGTCTCTGGCAGAACCTTTCCTTTGCTCTCGGGCAGCAGTAACGACATTACGCCAGAAAACAGGGCCAGACCGCCAATCACAATGTAGGGAATGTACCTGTAGTAGTTCCCTGTACAAACACACTTCATTAGAATATATTCAAATGAGCATTAACATCAGCGGTAATGCTAATACCGCAGCAGAAGAAGATACCCAGGTATATGATGAAGGGCGAGATGATGCTGCCGATGCGGGCCGTCATGGAGCAGGAGCCCATGGCCATGTTCCTCACCACCGTAGGGAAGAGTTCAGAGGTCACGGCGTAAACCACACAGAACGCAGCCGTCACACACAGTTTACCCAGCATCTCCAGTGCCGTAGACAAACCCTGCAGCTCTGCAGGACAGATCATACAGCGCGAGGTAAATAACAGGACAGCACTCTGAGCAAACATCCCTCAGACAGTGTGAACATCCAGCGGTTATTATGCACTACATTATTTACAGAATAAAATCAACCATCATTCATTTCAGATGAGTAATTAACATAATACCACATTTGGAAAAATCCATCCTAGTTTGTAGTGTTGTAGTGTTGCTGTAGTGTTGCTGTAGTGTTGCTGTAGTGTTGCTGTAGTGTTGTTGTAGTGTTGTTGTAGTGTTGCTGTAGTGTTGCTGTAGTGTTGCTGTAGTGTTGCTGTAGTGTTGTTGTAGTGTTGCTGTAGTGTTGCTGTAGTGTTGCTGTAGTGTTGCTGTAGTGTTGTTGTAGTGTTGCTGTAGTGTTGTTGTAGTGTTGTAGTAGTGTTGTAGTAGTGTTGCTGTAGTGTTGCTGTAGTGTTGCTGTAGTGTTGCTGTAGTGTTGCTGTAGTGTTGCTGTAGTGTTGTAGTAGTGTTATTGTGGTGTTGTAGTAGTGTTGTTGTAGGACTGCTTCACTACAGCCTTTAGTGCTCTTCACACTGTACAGATGAATACTGAACATCCTCCTCTATCTGCTGCTGTAGTTACGCTGCCGTGCCGCTGTAGACTGGCGTACTGCTTCTCTCTGCACATGTTGTATCATGATGCTGAAGTCACCTGTGGGGATCAGCTGTATGATGAAGATCAGCGCTCCGCCCAGCAGGAGAGTGGAGGCCTGGCAGATCCTCCGGCTGCAGAATCTGAGCAGCAGCGCAGCAATAATGTACGCCGGCACCTCCACCACCGCCGACAGGAAGAAGTTCAGGTACGGGTTCCCATGGAGGTTTGTGGTGTTCAGGATGAGAGCGTAGTATGACATTGTGATGACCATCCTGAAAATAAGACAGCACGTTACTCAGCTGCTGACATTCAGAATCAGAGGACAGCTCATAACACTGATTGCAGAGCTCAGCACTGGACACGCTTGGTGAAGCTCTTCCACAGTGGTGAAGCAGGACTGAGAAGGCTTTACTAACGCCAGAATGGAGACCCGTTTCTGAAGTTAATGACGAGAGCAGTAGAGAAGCGTACCACAGAAGTGAACAGATCAGGATGGTGGAAACAGCGTTACAGTTGCTCAGAATGTCCAGAATGCTGTGCTTTTGAATCCTCTTCTTTGCGGCTTCCTCAATCTGAGGAAAGATGAACCGAAACGTCAGCTTGAGAAGTGAGTTTAATCACACAGAGCAGAGCGTGACCTCTAACCTCTGAGGAGCTGAAGATGACCTCTGACCTCTGAGGAGCTGAAGATGACCTCTGGAGCCGTCACACGGTTCTTCTCAGCAGCGCGCCTCAGTACGGCTTCAGCCTCCGCCGTTCGGCCCTGAGACAGGAGCCATCGTGGAGATTCAGGAATAAACCTGGAGCAGAGAAACAAAGGCAGGTCGAGCTTCTTACTGGTTCAGTTGGAGGGAACACAGGGATTTGGGTGATGAACTAGGCTTTACATCTCTCTGCACATACCCTGAGTGTTCTGCATTGACAGCAGTCGTCGTGCCCAGCAGCGGCTTTACTTTATCAGGGAACGGTTTAGTTGCTTAGTTTAGTTAAGTAATGCCTTGTCACTTAAAGGGATTGGTATGATTTTACAATGTTTTACGGCTCGCTTTGCATCATAAACATGTTTTCCAGATTAAATTGTCATTATATGAACACCCATGTTTTAATATTCTTTCATGTGTTTCCCTGTGCACATGAATGAATGAATGAATGAATAAATGAATGATCCCATTCAGGATTATCTGAGGGTCACAGTGATGATTAACTTTGGCCTAGTTTGGTTTACACAGGACAAGAAGTGCAAAGCGATGATGCGACTAATCTAATGTCAGTGAGTTTGATGTACTGAAACAGTGTGAAGGTGTACACGTAAGAAAGGGTGTCGTGTGCAGTTTGTAACTGTCACACTTCTGAAAGAAATCCCAATGAATATTTCTGCAGTGCTGTGATCGCTGAGACCAGAGTAACAGCTCCACAGGGGCAAACAGTCTAGGCTTTCCACATGATCTGTGAGCATAAGATTGAGACTGCATTGCAAATATCATGAGAGCCTATCAACGATGTTTTTCACATGCAAGAATGTGATTTTGGCTGCATCTTAAGTGGGTTAGGGGATGGAGATCTTGTGTTGGAGCTCTGGACGCTGAATCAGTTCTCATCAGCTCCATCAGACTCTCTGCTGCAGTGTTGCCGTAGTCAGAAAGGAATCTCCTGTACCCTAGCAGGCCTAGAACAGAGCGCATCTCCTTCTTTTCCATCTAGCTCTGGGACTTGAAATCTATTTATGAGCTTTGTCACAACCCAGAGTTACACTGGTAAAAACTTGAAACTAAAATCCTGGCAAAACTTGCCAAGAAGCCACTCGTTGCACATGGCAGGGCAAGAACAAAATTAGAATATGCAAATGATTTTAATGTCCTCGTAAACAACCACTGTCATTATGATTAGCTCTCATTATAATGATATAAAGGGGTGTGTATGGTTATGGTTATGGGGATATACGAGCAACAGGTTCAGTTAAGTTAATTATTGAGTAGAAAAGGTGCAGTGTCCTTCATTATCTGTCAGTCCTTCAGCTCTGTCTTCTGTGTGTGTGGGTCAGTTTCCCACATGTTCTCATCAAGTTTGATTTGAGAAGTCCATCATTAGCGTAGGAAGTGGAGTATTTGAACACGTGAGCTGCAGGAGAGCGATGAGGCATGCGGATTATTCACAGCAGCTCTGTCTTGTCAGATCATTCAGCAGGATGACCTTCTCTCTGCTATAGCTGTGTCTGATTACACTCTTACCACCACAATGGGAAATACAGCAGGCCAGTGAGGGCGTTTGTCAGGACCAGCCATCGCCAGCTGCGGATGAAATAAGCTGCTAATGGAAAGAACATCTGCCCGATTCCAGAGCCCATGAAGACCCCCAGAGACCCGAACAGAACCCGACTCGCTGGACTCAGAATCTCACTGCCTGCAGATCAAGATGAGCTGAGTGTTGATGTCAGAGGAGATGTGATGGTGTTTAAAAGCATGCTGAGGATCAGAGCGCATTGTTTTACCTAGGACATATGCTACAACATAATTAGAGAAACCACTGAATCCCACAAAGAAGTAGATGGCGCTGAAGACCTCCCAGCTGGGAGAAAACATCTGGATGAGGATGGTGATGGTCTGCAGAGCCATCATGGCGAAGAGGACAGGTCTTCTACCATACCTGCACAGATCATAATCAGGAAAACAGTCATATTACAGTTGCAGATACTGAAGGCCAGTAACAGCCGGAGAGAGCTGTGGTGTGTGATGATGGTAACGCTGAGACTGCTGACCTGTCAGACATCTGGCCTGATAGGAAGGTTCCCACTAAAACACCACAGAAGTATATAGAGGAGGTGAGCGGGCCTTTATACTCGCGCTCACAGACCAGATCCCACTGAAAAACACCAGCAGACAACGTACAACCTCTCAAACATTCAATCTCAAACACATGATGGTGACTGATGATGCTGAAGGGTCAAAAACTGACGAACAGCAGCTTCAGTTCTGCATAATAAAGCGCGCGCAAGTGTGTGTGTGTGTATGTTTATGTGGGGGGGTTCTCTCTGTGCTGTGTTGTGGCTGGAAGAACATCCGTCAGTTAAACATTTGTGAGAATAATTGGCGGTTCACTCCGCTGTGGCAAGCCCTCAGGCTGAAGCAGACTGTATATACAATATAAAGAGGAAGAGGCTTTATCTCAGCAGGAGTTTGGTCAACTAGACCAGTGGTTCTCAAACTTTTTTCATCAAGTACCACGTTAGAAAAAAATTGTTTCTCCAAGTCCCACCAAAATGAGCAGTATTGAAATACAGTAGCGCAGTCGGCCCAGTAAAGCAGCTAAATCTCTGCACAGTTAAAAAACCTGGCAGATGACCTCAGAAATATAGCCTATATATAATATATGGCATATTATATACATCATTTTTAATAAATTTTGATTTATATGTAGCATGTAGATGACATATTTCATTCCTCCGTGTACCACTAGAAGGAAGCCCGCGTACCACTATTAGTACACGTACCACAGTTTGAGAACCACTGAACTAGACGTTAGACTCTTACTCAATAATCTGCCAACTCACCTCTGTCACGATGGTGGACTGGTAAAACTCCTGACTGTAGCTCCAGCCGTCCACACAGGGCTCCGTCTCGATCTGGCTGAGGTTGACCTCCACATTGGGGGTGTAGTTCAGCATGGAGAGCTGCCGCAGTGTGTCCAGCCTGTATCTGGAGCAGGAGCTGCGCTTTAACACTCCGTCCTGCATCTGCGTCGGGATGGCGGCGTCTCTCCACACACTGCTGATGTTGATCTGTTCTGGGATCAGACACTCGTGAGCCGGCGTATCGCCCACAAACACGATGTACAGGCCCACAAACCCATTAGGGAGGATGCTAATCGCTAAGGCTAAGAAGACCGTGAGCTGGAATTGACCCCATGTTCCCAGAAAAGACGTGATGTCGTCATAATCCCTCATTTTAGCCTTCAGTTGCCTCCACAGTTTGCAGTGGTGTCTTTCTTTTCATCATTTAATTGAGCACGTTTGTAACCCCTCCCAAACACACACACACACACACACACACACACACGTGAAATACAGTGTTTATGGTGGAGTCTGGCTGTTTAAAGTCCGGGTGTCTATCAAACATTACATCAGTTACTACTCAGCTCAGCACTGCGCTTTATTGGAGATCAACAGATTAACAGTGAAGCTGAAGAGTTTTCTGATCATTTACAGCAGCGGTGTCAAGCACCAGGGCCGCAGCTCTGCACAGTTCAGCTTTAACCCTGATTAAACGCTCCTGATCACACTGACGGAGTCCTCCAGGCTTGTGTGAATCCTCCAGGTGAGTGTGTTGGAGCAGGGCTGGAACTGACGGCCTCCAGGAGCTGGGTTTGACACCGCTGATATGAGCACAGGACAGATCATACAAGCAGCTTGACTATTAAAATTCCTACATTTGCATAGAAATGAGAATATTAAATAAAGCTGATGTAATTAAACTCTCTGAACTGGTATAATGGAGAAGGGTTATTCCAAGGCCAGTTATCAAATACACAGATTGATCAGACTTCATGTGTGTCCTCCGTCATAATGTCTGCTTGATGACCAGTCTTGTTAGACTTTCACTGACAGCCCAGATTTAGCCAAGACGTCTGTGTTTAGATGTCTATTAGACTGTATAGACTTCATTTATAAAATATGTAAACGTGTTCTACATAAGCTGTAACCCAACTGCTTTTACTGGAGTAGGAGGAATTGTGTGTGCTTCTTGAATATAACTGATTTCAACACAGATTTAATCACAATCAGACTTATAAGTGTAAGTGAAAGCATCCATCCATCCATCTCTGCTATGCCCTGCCCTGACCCCTTCCCTACATCCAGACACCATCCGCAAGTGTTCTAGACCTCATGTCCATCTATGTTGACCTTTGCCCTGGTCCAGTAGCTCCAGGAGTGGGTGTGCTGTGCCTGGGTGAGCCCATGGTGAAGTTACGGACACTGGTTTCTATTTGTCCATGCCTTTCTCAGCTCTCCACTTTGGTTAGGGGCTCTGGATGTGGGATCTGAATGAGTCAGTGCTCTTATTCCTATTTTTAATCATCTATTTTTATTCCATCGTTTACTTACTGTGTTCCTGTTTCACAGTTTTTCTTCTGTTGTTCTGTATCCTCCATTTATGTGCATTGGCTAATCTCTTTGGTTTCCTCCTCCAAAAGCTGGACTGTTCCCTCTAAAGGGCCATTTCCAATGTTTTCCGGGAGTGAACACTCTCCAATCCCTCTCTATTCCCAGTCAAACTGTTTCTGTTCACGTCTCTGGTTTAGGCTGTTGTGGAACAAGAAACACGACTGAAATGTCTGCTGTATTAGTCTGTGGCGTAATCGTCCCTCAGCAGATATCTGTGCAGGGGTGAAAGATTGAGGACAGTGGAGATCTGGCTGAGGACGGCTTCTCTGCACAGGCGTTCGGTTTGGAAATCAGTTGAGGACAGATGAATGTGATTATATTGTCCACTGTGTTATAAAGAGGCTACAAAGAAAGAAAGAAAGCAAGCCTCCTGTAAATCTCCTCATGGACAGAAGAGGCTCGCTGAGAGAACATCAGTATTCAGGACATGTTCAGTCCTTCTCGAGCAGCCTTTCCCCCAGTGAAGTGTCCTGCGGAGGGTAAATGAGCGCTCTGCTTTATGTGGAGGAGGGATTATCACTCATTAGTGTAGTAATGACTCTCACCCGTCACGTTCAGTAGATGAAAGCTTTGTAAAATGACAGTCTGAACATTATTTACTAAACACACACGCATGCACACTGCACACTACTGTAACACAGTTTGTGCTGAACACATAACAGGAAGCTCAAAGGCTCTGTCTCTGGATCAGCACATGCCCACTGATGCTGCAGGACTTTACAACAGGCAAATCAGAGGCAGGGTGACACGGTGGCTCTGTGGTCAGCACTGTGGCCTCACAGCAAGAAGGTTGCTGGTTCGAGTGCGAATGTTTCTGTGTGGAGTTTGCATGTTCTCCCCGTGTTGGCATGGGTTTCCCCCACATTCTAACCACACGCGCTGTAGGGGAACTGATCAACTACACTGGCCGTAGAGTTTGAGTGTGTGTGTGTGTGTGTGTGTGTGTGTGTAAATTAGTGTGATTGGGTGTTTCCCAGTACTGGGTTGCAGCTGGAAGGGTATCCGCTGTGTAATAACATATGCTGGATAAGTTGGCAGTTCATTCCACTGTGGTGACCCTTAATTAATTAACTAAGCCGAAGGGAGATGAATGGATGAAAGCGGAGGCGTATGAGTGCTGCTTCACGTGAGTGTGGAATATCAAAAACACGATCAGAGGGAATCGTTGACGTGTCTCTGTCTGGACCTGTCTGCCATCCATAATCATGCTGTATTCTGAGTTCTGACTGAGAAACACGGTGTGAACCGGGTGAAAACACGCACCCTGGTGCCCGCAGGTGCTTCAGCGTGTGCTGCTGAGCTGCTGAACCGGTTGCTGGAATGCAGAACATTAAAATGAGATCTTCTGAGTGTCAGAGTGAGTCTTTATCGCCACACGAGCTGTGGATGGACTGTGTGAAGGCTGGTCTCTCCGTCTCCCTTCTTACACACATTTCTGATCTAGCTGCTCGTGTTTATCTGTCCTTCTGTTCATGAGTCTGACAGTTCTGCCCTCATCATTGCTTTACATGCAGGTCTTCAGTGTGGATGAACACACCTGGTTAACCTGCAACCATGGAGAGAATCCCTGACAGCAGTTTGATATGCAGACTTTCAGCATGAAACTTTTCACATGGCAGCAGCTCACTGCATTTAGCCATGTAGACATGCCAAGAGGATCTGCTGCAGGTCAGAGCGAGCATCAGAATGGGGAAGAAAGGGGATTTAAGAGACTCTGAATGTGGCATGGTTGTTGCTGCCAGACGGGCTGCTCTGAGTATTTCAGAAACTGCTGATCTACTGGAATTTTCACGCACAACCATCTCTAGGGTTTACAGAGAATGCTCTGACAAAGAGGAAATATCCAGTGAGTGGCAGTTCTGTGGGCGCAAATGCCTTGTTGATGAGGCCAGAGGTCAGAGGAGAATGGCCAGACTGGTTCCAGCTGATAGAAAGGCAACAGTAACTCAAATAAGCACTCGTTACAACCGAGCTCTGCAGAAGAGCATCTCTGAACACACAACACGTCCAACCTTGAGGCGGATGGGCTACAGCAGCAGAAGAGCACACCGGGTGCCGCTCCTGTCAGCTAAGAACAGGAAACTGAGGCTACAATTCACACAGACTCACCAAAACTGGACAATAGAAGATTGGAGAAACGTTGCTGCTCTGATGAGTCTCCATTTCTGCTGACACATTCAGATGCTCGGCTCAGACAGCATGAAAGCATGGATCATCCTGCCTTGTATCAGCGGTTCAGGCTGGTGGTGGTGGTGTAATGGTGTGGGGGAGATTTTCTTTGGGTCCATTAGTACCAATTGAGCATCAACGTCACAGCCTACCTGAGTATTGCTGCTGACCATGTCCATCCCTTTGCTAGTAAGGTGTACCTAATAAAGTGGCCGGTGAGTGTGAACTTCTGTCAAGAACTCAATTCTATCAAGGCAGACCCACAAAGTATTGTGTTGAAGATGGCACCCTCTACTGTCAGAGCAGGTTTTCGCTATCAAATGAATCACTCTGTGTATTATTATTGATGTAAAGCCCTCTACTCATCAGATATCCCTGTGTGTGTGTCTGCAGAAGTCTGTGTCTGCGTGTGTTTAGTTGTTTATTAGTTTATTAAAGTGTTGTGTGTGTGCAAAAGTGTGTTTAAACACAATTATATCCACTTGTTTGGTCAACAAACCAAGTCTCTTATATAATTTATCCACTAAAATGGATATAAAATAGATAAATACAGAAATATAGAGCATGAAATAAACAGACTGAGTGATGGGGTAGAGATCTGTGTGCCCAGATTTGGTGTCCTTCTGTGAGTGTAGGTCAGAATTCCCTCAGTCCTACGGTCATGTTCTCTCAGATTAGCCTGCAGATGAAGTCACCGCTCGACCTCTTCCTCATCTGTAAACTGCTTTAGAAATGTTGAAGTTTGCATGAACTACTGTTAATGAATGCTGTGAGGGCACTGATCACTCTGCTGCTGATGCAGTAAATGCAGGAGCATCGGGCGTCACTGTGGCACAGTACCACGATCACCTCACAGCAAGAAGGTCGCTGGTTTGAGTCTCGGCTTGGTCATTTGATGTTTCTGTGTGGAGTTTGCATGTTCTCCCCGTGTTGGCGTGGGTTTCCTCCGGGTGTTCCGGTTTCCCCCACAGTCCAAACACATGCGCTATAGGGGAACTGATCAACTACACTGGCCATAGTGTATGAGTGTGTGTGTGTGTGTGTGTGTGTGTGTATGAGTGTGTGTGTGTGTGTGTGTGTGTGTGTGTGTGTGTGTGGAATGAGTGTGTATGGGTGTTTCCTAGTACTGGGTTGCAGCTGGAAGGTCATCCGCTGTGTAAAAAATATGCTGGATAAGTTGGTGTTTCATTTCGCTGTGGAGACCTCTGATTAGTAAAGAGACTAAGCTGAAAAGAAAATAAGTGAGTGAATAATGGAGCATGATCAAAGCCTGACTTGGTTTGTAATGGCTCTGTTGATCAATGGCGCCCTCTGGTGTGTGTGTCCAGAACTGCATGTAAATGACAGCATTACAGGAGTGATGTCTCGCTTCCTCGGTGCTCTGTAAACATGTTCCTTTACTTGTAGCTTTAATAAGCGGATGTGGATTGCTCTGTTTCTGTTCGGCTTTCCGGCGCTAGTGTGCGCTGAACCCTTTCCAAAGTATATGTCTTGTCCGGATCTGACCTGAGCCATTGGCACTTACAGACTTGTGGAGAGACGTTTGGCCATGGGCACCTTCCTGAGCTCCATGTGGCCGGAGGTTTTTTCTTCTGCCTTGATTTTCCAGGTCGTCTGTCTTTGATTCATGTTAAGTAATGTGTTCAGTAGCTGAATCCAGCCTTTGCTTTCTCAAGTGCCCTTTCTGTTCCCTGAATCCGCCCTTCGCCTTCTCCGACAGCAGCAGTGTCATCATCACGCTTCATCTCTGATGCTTTACTCTCCATCGCTGACAGTGAGACAGCCGTATCCATCAGCCCCTGTCGGTGTTGTTCTGATATCGGCTCTGAGTGACCTCACTTCACTTCTCTTAAAGCTTGAGTTGGATTCTCCATGTGAGTGGCCACGTCTTCCACTTCACTTGATACACTTGTTGAAGTTGTAACAGCGGTCTTACGTCCTCAGGTGAACATGTCACACTGTTGGTCACGGAGGGGTTTGGCGTATCAGCGCTGATCTGATTTCCTGAGCTTGCAGGTTTTGTTGAGGACAGGGCCGGAGTGGGACTCCTTTTCAGCCCTTGAGTTTCAAGCCTCAGACCGGCCCACCTCAGTTCACGACTGACTATATTAAAATAAGGTCATTCCAATTCAGTTTCTAATGACACTATCACGTCTTTTTTTGAGAAAACAGCTGCTTTAGAACTTCAAATTTTCAACAACCCTAACAGTATTATATGTCTTAACAATAAAAAAAATAAAATAAAAACATACTCAGACGAGGATCAAACCCCGGGTTGGCAGCGTAGTAATCTAACGTGCTAACCACTGGACCACAACAGCGACTTATCTGAGTTAAATCATCATTAACCTGCAGGCTGGTTATATATAAAAAGAGCAGAGCTGCGGTAAAAGTAAATAAATAAATTCATTTAAAAAGTGTGCTGCATTTTTTAAAAAGATTGCTGAGAGCAACAGATTCTGGAGCTAGGGACACCGGCCCTCGCGGCCAAAAAACGGACTGGCCCACCGGGAATTCTCCCGGTCCTCCCGATTAGCCAATCCGGGCTTGGTTGAGGATATTTAATTCAGATTTAGCACGGTTTCTCAGAGCTCTAAAGTCAAGCTGGCCACTTGACTCCCCATAATCATGTTGATGACTGAGTTATTACGATCTCTTCATGATGTCAAGATATGATGATAACAAATCTCAGATCCTCTTTTAAATGACTGAGCGGATGAGAGATACTGATCCTCAAACCTCCTCCATAATAATGACGTGTGTGGTGATTATAAAGGTCTTATGACAGTCTTACGAACACCCCCTTCAGGAACAGTGTTTCCAACAGTGCTGAGTGCGCTCTTATCACACATGACCTCTGGAGAGAGACGGAGAGTTTACTGAAGTAAGCCTTTGAGCACTGCTCCTCTCCTGTGAACAGACCGACTCCTCTCTGAGTGCAGGAGTAGTCATGAAGCAGTAATATTAGCGTCAGGAGATGAACTGGTGGGAGTGAAGGGAATGAAAGCGCTTTATGAGTTTAGCTAAAGGGTGAGTTCATCCACAACATTAAATAATCTTGTTTCCGCTGAACACAGAAGAAGATATCTTGAAGAAAACCTGTAACCATCCACTTTCATAGTCTAAAAATAATGCGGTGGACGTCAGTGACAGGTCTCTATCATTCTTCAAAGTATCCTCTCTTGTGTTCAACAGCAGACAGAAGCTCGTGCAGGTCTGAAACTTCTCAGTAAACAGCTGAGAGAGCATCTTCTGCACTCCTGGATGAGCTGCTCCGCCCCGGGGACCGTCGCGCACACATCCGCACACACCAGCCCGGTTTACGGCTGATCCTCAGCTTATACGTTAAATCTGTTGTAGAATATGGCCAAAGTAAGGCTTCCGGAGAAGGAACAGAGCATTCGGTGTTTTTAAAGTAAGACGCAGCGAGGTTAACCCTTAGCGGACTCCCCCGTCAGGAAGCTGCATTGGTTCGGTCCTGAGCGCGGAAGCGAGCTGAAGTTTGCGGATCTGTCGGAGCGTCGCGGAGACATCGCGAGGAGATGCGGCGCAGGCAGAAGCGGCTGCTGCGGGTCGGGCTGCTGCTCTCCGCGGCGCTGCTGCTGCTGCTGCTGGGCTCCGTCAGTCTGGAGCGCCGGCTGGACGCGGAGGAGCCGGAGGGCGGAGCGGGACTCGCGCAGATGCAGGTACCGGCGCACAGCACTCACAGCCCGGCCGTCGGCGCACACTCGGAGACCGGGCGATACTTTCGACGTCCCGCTGTCTGACGCGTCGCTCGCGCTGCTCACGCGTTGTCGCCGTGTTCGGTAGTCATTAGTTGGCCGGTAATAACAGTAATGCTGTTCTGGTCAAAGTTCACGAATTATTAGAGCTGATCAGTGATCACGGAAACCGAGTCCCGGTGCTGCACATCACACAACTAACTTTAAAAAACTTTCCTATTCTGTCTGACTCCACAAACAGCAGCTCAGCCCTGGCCTGCTTACTGAAAGAGTTTTATTAAAGTGTCGAGGTGAAAGGTCAGTGTTTTCTGCGTCGATTTATTACGAAACTGATCACACATCGATAATGATCATTAATGTCGCATTACTCAGTCCAGGGTGCAGTTCTGCTCGGACGGGTTCACCTGTATGCGGAAATACTGAATGTGCTGATGTTGGAGATGAGCCTGCATGTATGTCACATCATACATTACATTTACATTTCTGCAGATCATACACTGCGGGTTATTAAACATGTATCTGGTGTGAGGAATTTACTTAATTTGCTTCAAGAATACATTAGCAGCATATCTCCTGACCAAAAACATACACAGACTCGCAGAGAGATGTGTGTTTCAGCTGTGTGTGTGTGTGTGTGTGTGTGTGTGTGTGTGTGTGCATAGGATATAGAATATAACTAAAGAAATACTAAACATATGATGTAGAAGATTAACTAGAGCATGAGCTTATGGGTGTGTGTGTGTGTGTGTGTGTGTGTGTGTGTGTGTGTGTGTGTGTGGTATGATCTGAACACTGGGCTGAACATGAGCAAACATGAGGAGATTATGAACTCAACTCAAAGGCGAGTCTGAGTCTGACGCCTCCTCCAGTGTTCATCAGTGAGATGATGGTCTGTGATGTTCATCTAAGTGAAGTTTATTTATACACTAATGTGGAGAGGATCACGTGCTTGTGATCGCTTGTGTCCTATCCCGCATTATCCAATTCATGATTCACCAATCAGACGATTCCTAAACCACTATTAATCCAGACTAATCCAACTCAGTTCCAAAGACATGCTGCTAGTCAGTAGTTATCTCTTAAGAGCAACCACTGTTCACTAGCTACTAATGCAGGGGAGTTCTCCAGATCTACCTGAGCTCAAACTCCCCTCTTGCCTTGCAAACGGGAGGGAGTCCCGGGCTCGAGGATCTTTTGAGCTCAGGGCTCTCTCCCAGGACAGCATGCCAAACACGCTGTGAACTCTTGTATAAACTGAAATGTCATCTACAAACAATAATATATAAACACTAATATAACATAAACACTAATATAAACATAAACACTAATATAACATAAACACTAATATAAACATAAACACTAATATAACATAAACACTAATATAAACACTAATATAACATAAACACTAATATAATATAAACACTAATATAAACACTAATATTAACACTAATATAATATAAACACTAATATAAACACTAATATTAACACTAATATAATATAAACACTAATATAAACTCTATAAAATCCTGCACAGATAAAATAAGTCCTGCACTGCTACAGTAGAGGAGGCTAGTAGACATATTAACACATGAAAACACGATTTACTAGTAAAATACTAATTTTCACAAACACAGAAAGCTTTATAAAGTTTTAAACTTCACATTTTAGCCTTTAAACCATTTATAGGGGATTCACTTTACAATCAGCAGAACAACATTTCAGATCTGCGGACATGGAGATGGAAACGTTAATGACCAAACACCCTCACACACACATTTACATCAGTCAGATCATCTGATCAGCAGACTACAGCACTGAAGCTCAGGCACTGATGAAGACGTCACTCACAGCTGATCACAGCACAGTTTCTGCATGTTTTATCTTCTCGCAGGGAAAGTTTCTCCTACTCAGTTGCACATGTCTTTTTTGTGCATCTTTAAACTTTGCAAATCGTGGTGTTTCCATTAAGCATGTTTAATGCAGCATTCTGAAATACACATGAAAATAGAGGAATCATGGAAACAAAGCTATTGTGCATTACAGACGTCTGCTCCAGTGTTCCTGCAGCCGCTCAGAGCCTCCAGATAGAGCTGAGGGTAAAGTCTGCTCATAAACCCTCTCCAGGTGTGTTTGATGTGTGTGTCTGTGTGTGTGTGTGTGTGTGTGTGTGTGTGTGTGTGTGTGTGTGTGTGTGTGTGTGTGTGTGTGTGTGTGTGAAAATACCCTGATATACTCTGCAGGATGGAGAAACACACCAGCTGTACATCATCCAGATGAGTTTATCAGGTGTCCGTGATGATATGAGTTTATATCAGTGATATCAGTTTTCTGCAGCAGTCTATGCAGAAATGAGCAATACGGATGTTTCTGTCTGTATTTAGAAGCATCAGCTTGCCTGATTATTATTATTATTATTATTACATATATATGAGTATTATATCTCAGTGTCATTATTCAGATGAGTGTGGATTCTGTTGTGTTGACTGATTATAGACATGTCCCAGTGCTGATCAACATATTCAGCAGGTCAGTGCGGTAACCCCAGGCCATGTTCATGCACATGCTGTCAGTAAAGCCGGTTCTGGTATTCCTCCAGTGTGTGTTTTCAGATGGAGCGGTGTAGCAGAGCTGTATTTCACAGATGATCTGCGCAACATCATCGTTTAATCGATTTGTTTGTTCATGGGTAAGACCACGACTGACACACACACACAAACACACACTCAGGGCTGTGCCCTCCAGTGAGCGTCCGCTCCACAGGGCTGAATGGTGGTGTTGTGAGCTCTCCATGGCTCTGCTCCAGCGGCTCTGATAGTGTCTCTGTGTGAGCGGAGCAGGAGCCGGAGCTTCAGCAGGTGCAGGACACCATCAGTCCCTCACCCACATTCACATTCACTACTGTAGTTCAGCTCAGTGGAGCTCAGAAGCAGATCATCGAGCCGCACACAGGGCTTCAGCTGATCCACCGTACCGCAGCTCACTGCAGACGTGTCCTCTGTCCTTCTTTACCCAGAGGGAGGGTCTGTTTGTCAAAGAGGTGCAGCTGAGAGCGCTACACTAATAACCAAACAGCAGCAGAAGGATCAGGCATCACAGCTGCACATACTGATAACACCTGTTCTGTCCCTCACCTGTCCCTCACCTGCTCTACACTTGTCCCTCACCTGCTCTACACCTGTCCCTCACCTGCTCTACACCTGTCCCTCACCTGCTCTACACCTGTACCTCACCTGCTCTACACCTGTCCCTCACCTGCTCTACACCTGTCCCTCACCTGCCCTACACCTGTAACTCACCTGCTCTACACCTGTACCTCACCTGCTCTACACCTGTACCTCACCTGCTCTACACCTGCCTCCAATTGTTGTACACCTGTCTTAGTTTCATATATTTCTCATACTTGTTCCACAGCTCTCCTGCACCTGCCCTTCTCCTGTCCCACACTTGCTGCTTATCTTTCCCACACCTGTCCGACACCTGTCACATCTGTCCCACACCTCTCCATCACCTCCCCTGTCTGGATTAAATACAGTTTTCAGAGGTGTGTGTTGGCATTTTGGGGACAGTTCCTCTGTTCCCATTTTTTAAATGAGGAAGCGGAGGGAGTGTTCCAACTTTAGGGCAATCACACTCCTCAGCCTCCCTGGAAAAGACTATTCCAGAGTCCTGGAGAGGACGACCGGGCTGATAGTGGTACCTTGGGTTCAGAAGGAACCATGTGGATTTTGTATGGGCTATGGGACCCTCGATCAGCTCTATATACCCTCATTAGGGTGCTGGAGGGATTGCCAGGGTGCTCTGGGAGTATGGGCTACGAGGCCCTCTGTTAAGCTCTGTCCAGTCCCTGTATGAGCGGAGCAGGAGTTTGGATTGGAACAGGTCTTACTTGTTCCCGGTGCATGTTGGACTCCAGCAGGGCTGGTTCTGTTCATGATTTTCATGGACAGAGTTTCTAGGTGCAGCCTAGGCCCGGAGTCTCTTCCTCTCTGCTGTTTGCAGATGTTGTTATTCTGTTGGCTCCATCAGACCTGGAGCTTCAGCAGGCACTGGGCCGCTCTGCTGCAGAGTGTGAAGCAGCAGGGATGAGAATCGGCTCCTCCAGAAGGTGGAAGGCTGTTCAGGAGTGAGGGAAGGATTTAGCATGAGATTGATGACCGTTCCCTTAACAAATGTGTGCAGATCTTTAGCAATATTCTCTAAGTGTCAATGTAAAACTCTTGCATAATAATGGCATTTCCCTTAACCGCTCTTCTGTGACTGAATTCATCCTCTCATGATGAGTTATTCAAAAACATGACATTAGGTTTACGAATACAGCAGTCGACACACTAGAAGCTTTCACAGAGGGAAACACGCTTTACTGGCAAAGCAAGACCCGCAGATGAAAGCCCGAACAGCGCTGACACTTTATGACACTTTATGACACTTTATGACACTTTATGACACTTTATGACACTTTTTGTTTAATTGAGTTTGTTTTGTTGTATTTGAAGCATTTTTCTGTTATTTGACGCAAACCGTATGGGGCTCGACATGATTCCTATCAGAGGCTCTTCTGTACGGGCTAAAGATCCTCCTAGTACAAACTCATCTGCACCGTCACAGTCTCTTAGAGCGCTTAAAAACCCTTCGCTCAGCTCCATCAGAGGAAACATTTACACTACATTAAACGTATGTGTGTGTGTGTGTGTGTGTGTGTGTGTGTGTGTGTGTTTTAGAAAGTGAACAGAAAGCAAGTGCTGAAGGATGGCGTCCGGAAGAAGGACTGGCATGACTATGCAGCCATCAGGAGTGACGCGGCACGAACAGGTACAGCAGACCTGCAGGAGTGTGAAACTCTCTTTTTGTGTGTGCGTTCATTACCTTTTCTCTCTGTGTGTGTGTGTGTGTGTGTGTGTGTGTGTGTGTGTGTGTGTGTGTGTGTGTGTGTGTGTGTGTGTGTGTGTGTGTGTGTGTGTGTGTGTGTGTGTGTGTGTGTGTGTGTGTGTGTGTGTGTGTGTGTGTGTGTGTGTGTGTGTGTGTGTGCAGGTGCTGGAGAGCAGGGCCGGCCGTACCCACTGACGGATGCAGAGCGTGTTGATCAGGCCTACAGAGAGAACGGCTTCAACATCTTCGTCAGCGACCGCATCGCCCTCAACAGATCACTGCCTGACATCAGACACCCCAAGTGAGACACACTCCTTTATCTGCAATAAACACACACACAGGTAAATGAACACACATCAGTACGAGTACAGCTACACGGACTCCAGAAGGACTCTATACAGTGCTGTTTGTCTAGTTAAATACAATTATTTGGTTGACTTGTAACAGTGCCCCATTGCTGAAGACAAATATATTCAGCAGACAGCAGCGGACCAACTGGTTTAACCAGATAGAGAGAAGCGTGTCGACAACACCTGTCAATGGGAAAGGGGTATCGGGAAAGGGGCTTTCAGAAATAAAACTCTGGGAAAAGGCCTTGGGAACATGATTTAAAAAAGTGATTTTGGTTTAAGCAACTTGGGGAATCGACTTGGGGAAGTGACTCGGAATAGTGACTCAGGCAAGTGACTTGGGAAAGTGTCTCAGGGAAGTGATTTGGTTTAAGTGACATGGGCAAAGGGTCTTGCCGAATCGACTTGGAAGGGGTCTTGGGAATTCAATTTGGGGAAGGGGCCTAGGTAAAGTGGCTCGGTGAAGCGGCCTCTGAAAAGAGGATGAGGGACCTCACGAAAGTGACTTGGGAAAAGGGCATTGCCAAAATGATTAGGGGAAGGGGCATCAGGAAAGCGGTTCGAGAAAGTCACTTGGGAAAGGGCCTCACAAAAGTGACTTGGGGAAGGGGCTTCTGGAAAGTGGCTCAGGGAATCGACTTTGGTAAGGGGCATCACTAAAGTGACTCAGGGAAGGGCCCTCGTGAAAGTAGGTTAGGGTTAAGAACTTGAGGAAAGGGCAACAGAGGCATCACATTTGACAGAGGACCACAATGGAAATAAGCCCAGGGCTTTATTGTGTTTTTATCCTCGACAGTTTTTTTTAACAAAGTGTATGGAATACTTTTTGTACAGTTTGTCTAAAATCTGTCAAATAAAATTCAATTCAATTCAATTCAATTCACTAAAGCCACTCCAGAAAGTGACTCAGGGAAGGGCCCTCACAAAAGTTATTTGGGGAAAGAGCATCAGGAAAGTGGCTCGAGAAAGTGACTTGGGAAAAGGGCATTGCGAAAATGAATTTGGGAAGGGACATCAGGAAAACGGTTCGAGAAAGCAACTTGGGGAAGGGCCTCGCGAAAGTGACCAGGGGGGCCTCTGGAGAGTGGCTCAGGGAATCGACTTGGAGAAGGGGATCAAGAAAGCAGCTTGAGAAAGTGACCCGGGGAAGAAACCTCTGGGAAGGGGTCTTTGACTTATGTGCTGTTTATTGTGTGTGTGTCTGTGTGTGTGTGTGTCTGCAGCTGTAAGTTGAAGCTGTACACTGCAGATCTCCCCAACACCAGCGTCATCATCCCGTTCCACAATGAGGGCTGGTCGTCTCTGCTGCGGACGGTGCACAGTGTGCTGGATCGCTCGCCGCCGTTGCTCATCGCAGAGATCATCCTGGTGGACGACTTCAGTGATAAAGGTGAAACTACAGGAGACACTGATACACACACACACACACACACACACACACACTTCACAGCAAAAAACACACACTACACCACAGGACACACACACACACACACCACAGTTCACAATGCCTCTGTTCTGGTTATCTCTCGCACACTGGGGATTTCAGGCCTCAGTAAAGTGTAACTCAGCAGATTGCTGCTTCTCCATTTGCCCATCACTTCCAGAGGACAGACAGTAAACTATTGAGTGTAGCAGTGAGTGTGTGTGAACTCGTCATATTTAGATCAGGATTAATGTTCTGTCATATTAAAGACTCACAGTTTGATCAAGACACCTATTGATCATCATCTGAACTCGTCATCCTCTGCCGCTGACCTTCACTGGATTCCCACATCTGAAATCAGGATCAGTTGCCATGATCACGTGTTCCATCATGCATGTTCAGGAGTGTTTAGTTTCATGCTGACAGAACCGTGTGTAGCGCTGAATGAGTTCACCCACATCTTCACATGTGTATATCACACTCAGATCACTTAATAAAACACACACCCGCGCTGTCTGTCTGTGTGTGTGCTCATATTAGGCACATTTCTCATGACACTGACACTGTGTGCAGAGTCCGCCATCATTAAAGCCTGGTGTGTTTGCTCCCTCAGCATCTCTAACTCCGCTGTGCATCAGGGATTTAATCTGCTGTTTTTGCTGGGATGATCCTAATAGTGTCCTGTGTGTGTGTGTGTGTGTGTGTGTGTGTGTGTGTGTGTGTGTGTGTGTGTGTGTCAGATTACTGGAGTATAATCCTCTGTATAGCTCAGCTCTGAGTGTGTTCATGAGGCTGCAGATGTAGAGTTCTGGGTCACTTCATATGTGATGATAATGATGATGATGATGAAGAGGATGAAGATGGTGATGATGATGATGATGATGATGATGAAGAGGATGAAGATGATGAAGATGGTGATGATGATGATGATGATGAAGAGGATGAAGATGATGATGATGATGATGATGGTGATGATGATGATGAAGATGGTGATGATACTTCAGTACGGTCTAATGTGGGCTACATCACTGCAGTCAGCCTCTTAATCCAGCGTGGATTATAAACCCCAGCCGTCACACACTGCAGGATGTCTGTGCTCAGTGCTTCATGACAGTAATAAACACACAGAGGCAGTGATGAGTGAGAGCAGCACACATTAGAGGAACCGTGTGTTCACACTGCGCTGGAAATCTGTCTGAAAGCTCCGTCAGTCAGTGGATCTGTCAGCGGACCGATCGCTGGTATATCTGCACAGGTCAGCTGATGGAGAGGCTCTAGGTGTGTGTGTGTGTGTGTGTGTGTGTGTGTGTGTGTGTGTGTGTGTGTGTGTGTGTGTGTGTGTGTGTGTGTGTGTGTGTGTTGCAGTAATAGTGTGTAATGTGTAGCCCTGGTGTACACCTGTATTACAGTCCTCCATGTGTGAATCACAGAAAACACACCTGAACACTGCTGATGAGGAGGTGTGTGTGTGTGTGTGTGTGTGTTCCAGCTGCGTAACGTGGGCACTGGGCTGTGTGTGGAGAGCAAACACTTCTCCTCCGGGTCCCCGATCCGCCTGGAACCATGCCTGAGGAGCCGCGGAGAGCCCAGCTGGAGCCACGGGCAGGTGAGACACGCACCGCTAACAGCGCTAGCACTAGAGACACACACTGCTAACTGCTAATATGGCTAACTCTCTGTGTGTGTGTGTGTGTGTGTGTGTGTGTGTGTGTGTGTGTGTGTGCAGGTGTTCACCTTCGGCTGGCGGCAGGACATCCGCGTGGGAGACCCTCTGCACACTAAGAAGGTCTGTTTCGACGCGGTATCGCACAACAGCCCCGTCACACTGTACGACTGCCACGGCATGAAGGGCAACCAGCTGTGGGCATACAGGAAGGTGAATCTCACACACACACACACACACACACACACACAGGTGTTGTAGACTGCGACTGATCTTCAGTCCAGCATTAGAGCCGAGTGTGAAGCTTCATCATCAGAGGAGCAGCACAGAACACACTGCACACACACACTGCATTATGGGGACACAGCACAGCTCAGAAGAGGACACAGTGCTGCTGTGTGTCTGTGAGCGAGACAGCAGGTGTGTGTGATGATCAAGAGCAGCGGTGTCCAGCGTAATGTCAGCAGACCACCAAGAAGAAGAAGAAGAAGCAGCACATCCAGCAGGAGGAGCTGTGGAGGTAGAGAAAGCTGTCTGAAAGAGTCGTCCGGCTGCGCTTCCACCGTCAGCTCCACTGTGTTCCACATGCAGGAGTTACGGTGTGGAGAACAGAAGCGGCCCACCCAGACCGCTGATGCCCAGAGTCCAGCATGAGGGGATCAGTGATGGTTTGGACTCAACATCACGGCGTTCCCTAGGCCAATACTGGTGCTAGATGGGCGCTGGGTCACTGCCCAGGACTACCCAACCATTCTGGAGGAGCATGTGACCCGATGGGTCAGACACAGCAGGACTGGAGACAGAGCGGTCTGATGAACAAGACAGTAAAGTTGAACATCTCCCATGGCCTGCACAGTACCCAGAGTTAAACATTATTGAGCACTTGCTGTTTTGGAGGAGTGAGTCAGGACAGGTTTTCCTCCAGCAGCATCAGCAGTGACCTGAACACTGTTCTGAAGAAGAACCGCTCACAAAACCACTTTATCGGGACCCTTTGCAAAGGGTGAATAGCCCACCAAAAGGGTACCAGAAGGCGGAGCCATATATGCAGCTGAACGCTATTGGCTTAAAGAGATCCGTCACTCACGCATACACAAGCAGGAGAATGAACAGAATCATTAATTAAACACACAGCGAGACAGTACAGCGTCATAACACACAGATAATGATGAGCCGAGCGCAGACACACACTGATGACACGAGCCCAGAGGAAGAGCAGAGTCTGCCCTGTAGAAGCTCCTGCTGCTGCTCACCAGGCGGCTATAGCATGAGCGCTTACACTTTCTCCAGAGAGCTGTTAGCGGTCGCTCGCTGCGTGTCTATATCTGAGATGAGGAACGTCTGACCCGTACTGTACTGTACCAGTCGGTGGGCCACAACAGCGGGCCATCAGTTTCACTGTCATTGTCCAATACATACACACACACACACACACACACACACACACATACAGTACACACACACATACATACACATACAGTACACACACACATACATACATATACAGTACACACACACACACACACACATACATACATACATACATATACAGTACACACACATACACACACACACACAGAGAGAAACACACACACACACACACACACAGAGAGAGAGAGAGAGACACACTCACTGTGTGTCATGATCAGAGTGACAGTAACACACACACACTCTTGTTGTGTCTCTGCAGGACCGCAGTCTCTTCCACCCGATCAGCAACAGTTGTGTATCAGCAGACGCAGCACAGAAGCGGCTCCTCATGAGCTCCTGCGACGCCTCGTCCTCCAGCCAGCAGTGGGTCTTCCAGAACACCAACAGCAGCGTGCTGGACTCCTTCAACCAGCGCACATAACGCCTGTGTGTCTGCGCCTGTGCTCGTGTGTGAGTGTGTATATAGATGAACTCCTGGTCGACAGAGAGACACTCTCACTGCTGCTGCACACACATGCACACACACACACACGCGCGCACACACACGCATTGTTTAGATGCAGCTGCTTCTCCATCATCAGTGTGTTCACCGCTGCACACCGCAGAGAATGTGTGAGAATCTCCAGCAGCAGCAGCAGCCGATGTGTTCCATCTCAGTTCTGCGTCAGCATCGACAGCCGGATCACTCCATCATCTTCATCATCATCTTCATCATCATCATTATTTTCATCTGTTATATTATTAACACACACACACACACTTTCTGCTGTAGTAGACACAGTGTTGTATTTAACAGCTGAAGGTGTGTTCACTGCTGGAGTGTGTGTGTGTGTGTGTGTGTGTGTGTGTGTGTGTGTGTGTGTGTGTGTGTGTGTGTGTGTGTGTGTCACTCCTGTGCCTTTGCTGAATCTGCTCCACTTTTCTATCTCTCTTCAGATGTTGGGTATTTTTACAGATCTTGTGTGCTGTTCGGCTGTGCAGAGACTATTTTCAGGTGTGTGTGTGTGCGCGTGCGTGTGTGTGTGTGTGATCTGCAGACGCTGTCAGTGATGTAGCAGGTGTATTTTTATACTGAAGCATTGATGATGTTCACTGCTGATCTTAAATTATTAGCGAATATGAATGTGCAGGTCTGATCATCATCATCATCATCATTATTCATAGCTAACACAGGCTGTGTGTGTGTGCGCGCGTGTGTGTGTGTGTGTGTGTGTGTGCTCCTCTGCTCTTCATCACGGCTGCAGTTTATCTGTTATATGAACTCTTCAGATATTAAAGTCCTGCATTATTCTGAGTGTGTGTGTTTCTCTTACAGCAGCTTTAATGTTCAATGCAGAGGACAGACACTATTAGCATGTCTCCATCACATGCTGATGTTCAATATGAGTATATGATCATTATTAAAGAGAACAATAATACACAATAATACATCTCCTCATCATCTACTCGAGGAAGGCGAGTTTCTCCTGCTGAACACAGCGGCTGATATGCAGGAGCCGGACATGAAGAGCTCACATGCAGAAACCTCTAATGCTGTCTGAGATTCTCCTCCAAACTAGTGTCCTTATCAGTCTCCTGTGTGTGTGTGTGTACTCGGTGTAAGAGCTCTGAGGTGTTTAATCAGGGCAGACACTGATGATGAGGGAAACACGGCCGGAGCCCTGATAAAGCTGATTACTCGGATGTTTCTGACCCCGAGTGCTCATTAGTCTACAGGGTAGAATGCAGACTATAGGGAAGTGTTCACTGATGAGGGAGCGCTCACTAGTGTGCAGCGCTTCTGGGGTTTTCCTTCATGAGAGCTGCGTGTTCTCTGCCGGTAAACTGCAGCTGTTGACCGAACATCAGCTCTCCGTGCTCGGGTTTATCAGGTTTATCCGTGATCTGATCCAGAATCGGCTGTTTTCCACCGTCAGACTTCGCGTTTGACTTTGTGAAGTTCAGCGCGTGCTCGTGACGCAGCGGCGGGAGAGCAGGAAGAGCCGTTTTGACGGACAGCCGCGGCAGCCAATCGGAAGACCGGATGCAGCCTTAGAGACCCGCCCTATCGCGAGATCAACCAATGGGCTTTCGAGGATACGACTTCCGGTGTCTGGCAGGACGTGTTCATTGTATGTGTGTTGTGGCGGTGGTGTCCGCTCGGTAACGGTGTTTTCGCGCTCGGTGGGTCAGTAGCGGCTCTTCAGCCCGGGTGTCGCGGGTCTGTGCTCCTCCGCTCGGTGTCCGGTCTCCGGGATGAACGGCTTCAGCACGGAGGAGGACAGCCATGACGGGCCGCCCGCGCCGCCGTTCTTCGGGCAGAGCTGCTGTCTGATAGAGGACGCGGAGCGGTGCGGGCGGCCGGCGGGGAACGCGTCCTTCAGCAAGAGGATCCAGAAGAGCATCTCCCAGAGGAAGCTCAAGCTGGACATCGACAAGAGCGTGAGTCTGTGTGTGTGTGTGTGTGTGTGTGTGTGTGTGTGTGTGTGTGTGTGTGTGTGTGTGTGTGTGTCTGAACTCCTGAAGTGGGCCGCTCCGCTGGTGTCTCCAGTTCTCCGGTCAGTCGGGATGAGGCTACGGAAGGGCCTCGGGGACAGACGTGTGTCGAGTGTGTATCTGCGCTGTTCTTCTTCAGCTGAGCAGTTCCTCCGTCGAGTTAATCCGCGGAATAAAATGTTTTGGTAATCTTTAATCAAAGTCTGAGCATCTGCTTCCGTGTTTGGAGGACGGTGACCGATGACGTCAGTTCGATGCTTCACACACAATACTTATAGCCACGCCCCTCTGACTGGTAAAGGCGGGGTTATTCCTCCGTGTGGAGCGCAGGCTGGTGTTCCGGTCCAGCCGCACCCAACCCTAACCCTTGACACCCTCCTCTCTAATGCAGTGTTCTCAGCAGACGTGGCGTGCGCGGGTGAATCATGTGAACATTGAGTTCACTCGCTTCATTCGTGCATCTAATTCGCTTCGCTTCTGTGCTTTAGGAAGGCTGAAGAACCGCGTCGATTCGCTCAGCGCCGTGTCTGAGTCCACTGGACTTATTGAGCGGTGCGCAGCTCTGAGCTCATCAGCTCCTCCAGAAACCGTGCTCTGCGAGGCGAGAGGTGTGTCGGATCTCAGAGTTGGCCGCATGGCAGATGACTGCCGGCGAGATTCTGAAGTGCGCATCAAATGGACGCTGCGCTATCCCATAATGCACTAAAGCATTTCAGCTAATCCATAATGCATAATGATGAAACGGGAGTGAAGCGACACAACTCACGTCATGTGACCATGACAACATGGCGGATGCAGTACGTCTGAGCTCCATCATACAGCTTAGTTATACTGTATAGAGCGCACTACTGAGGGCGGAGGAGCACAGGCAGGTGTGTGTGAGAGAGAGACAGAGAGAGAGAGGTGGCAGTGCTGGAGTTACAAGTGTGTGTGTGTGTGTTTGTCTGCTGTGTGTGTGTGTTTGAGGCTGGATCTACAGGTGTGTGTTTTAATGTAAAGGTAGGCCTGTATTCGCTCTGCCAACACACACACACACACACACACTCTCCATCAGTGCTGTTGAGTGTGTGTTAATGTGTGTGTGTGTGGGTGTTCTGCAGGTCCGACATCTTTACATTTGTGACTTCCACAAGAACTTCATCCAGAGCGTGAGGAACAAACGCAAGAGGAAGACCAGCGATGATGGAGGAGAGAGCCCGGACCACGAGGTGGAGGTGCCCGAGGTACAGCTGCTGCACGTGTGTGTGTGTGTGTCTGTGTGTGTGTGTGTGTGTGTGTGTGTGTGTGTGTGTGTGTGTGGCTCTGCTGTTGGAGTGTTTCAGATGATTAGACTCTGGACTCTCAGAAATCCTCCAATTCTCCTTCATTCCATTGTGGATTTACTTGTGTGTGTGTGTGTGTGTGTGTGTGTGTGTGTGTGTGTGTGTGTGTGTGTGTGTGTGTGTGTCAGGTGGATCTGTTCCAGCTTCAGGTCAACACACTGAGACGCTACAAGCGGCACTACAAGATCCAGACCCGGCCCGGCCTGAACAAAGCTCAGCTGGCAGAGGTATTGCGCACACACACACACACACACACACACACACACCATTTATACCCAGCATAATGACCAGTGTCTAGTACATCAGCCAATCATAATGCAGCGTGCGCGTGTGTGCGTGTGTGTGTGCGCGTGTGTGTGTGTGTTGTTCTCTAATGATGAAGTGTGTGTTTCCTCTGCGCAGACTGTGAGCCGTCATTTCCGGAATATCCCGGTGAACGAGAAGGAGACGCTCACGTACTTTATTTATATGGTGAAGAGCAGCAAGAGCCGGCTGGACCAGAAGTCAGACAGCAGCAAACAGGTGGAATAAGCCATGGTCAGGAGCACAGGACCTGAGTGAAAGCATGCAGAGACGCTCGTGCCTGCCCATGCTGCTGCGGTGTGTGTGTGTGTGTGTGTGTGTTGTCCAGAAGAGCCGCATGCTTCAGTTCCTCTGCGAGATCTTCTTTAGTTTAGCGTGCTGCTGTGCTGTGCTGGAGCGCTGTACTCCTGCTCCACACAGTCTGCTGTTAGTTTCCTCTCCTCTTTCTTTAATTCTTTGACTAAATACAGTGATTGTGGCACTACTCCAGTCTTCCTCCATCATTATCCTCATCCTCATGGTGCTGCTGCTGTCTGTGGGAGATGTGTGTCTGGATGATGATCATCTGCTCTCAGCCGCTAGCATATGTCACTGCAGTGTTCAGATTATCTGGGTTATCCAGCACAATATGAGCATTTTCACGATCAGAGATCATTCATATTGTGACCGATTGGGCTGATGGTGTTGGGCAGCGAGCGTCTGCAGTCAATATACAGGAATAATCAAACAAATGCAGAGGAAATGAGGCTGATTAAGCCACAGAACACAGACGAGCGCTGTGTGGTGTCAGGTGGAGTCTGACAGCAGTGATGTGCAGAAGTGTAGTCTTCATCATACTCATCATCAAACTCGGCGATCCTCTGCTGAAGTGCCACACTGCACTCTCTCCTGTCCACGAGGGTGAGCTGCAGTTGAGCTCCTGCTGTGAGGACCGCAGACACACTCCCCATGCTGAACTCATCTACTGTGCAGCAGTGTGTGTGTGAGTGTGCGTGCGAATGAGTGAGTGAGTGAGTGAGTGAGTGTGTGTGCGTGACCCTGATCATCTGATCTGTCTGATTTATTTGTTTTATTGTCGGTTATGGAGGTCATTTGTGTCGGAGTATGTGATTTCGTCTTGATAAAGTCCTGCCTTGTCGTGGGTAACAGATGTGCCAGACTACATGTTCCTTCATGGTCAGTCATCCTGAGAGGTCTGTGATGAGCGTTATGTCCCAAAGCAGTCACGAGTGCTGTCCACTGGCAATTTGCTCATGGCTATTCCAGGGGCTGCTGCCGCTTTTCCCACGGTGATCCGCCATCGGACCGCTGGTATTAAATAAGTGTCTGCTGGCGGCCCACGCTCGGTTCGCAGGTTGTTTTTTTAATATTGTATTAGCCTACACAATTGCATTCAGTATTAATATGTCCAGTAATGAAATCAAATACACAATACTTAATCATTACTAAATGTATTTATAATGCTGCATCACGAACAAACACTGAACATAGATTATGGTGAAATGTTTCAAAAACACATACATTGACAAATATAACAAAATAAATATAAACTACATACAAATATAAAATAACAACATAACAGTTACGCTTTACAGAAGTTTAATTAGTTAATGTTAACGGTTTAACTAATATAAACTAAGTGTGAACAACACTTGTACAGCATCATTAATGTACAGCATTTACTAATGCATGAATTAAGTCCATAGTCATGCTTGTTAACGATAGTTAATGCATTGTGAGTTAACATGAATAAACAACGAACAACTTTTTTACCATTTACCAACATTAGCAAAGATGAATAAATATCATTATAAATATATATATATATATTACTTGAAGATCTGCACGAAACACCACAGTCAATAAGACACTGTCCTATGATGTGACACTGTCTTATGGTTGTCCCATATTTTTTACATCCAGTGTTGGACAGATTGCTAATCAGTAAATAGCTATAGTGCTATCTGTTAGTTTTGACGTCAGCTAATGTTATGGAAAGGCATAGATGTTATGGAAAATAGTAATAGTAATGTAACTACCCTCATCATTCCTTCCTCAAGCAAATGTGTAAATATTAGATCTATTCAGCATTAATGTTAATTGCATTGGCATATTTATCTGACGTTTTCGCAGCTTGTAGCAGTCGATCAAAAAGCTATTTAGCTTCTTATGACTATACAGTGGGATTTACTGCGATGTGACGGGGCGACACCTGAAATCTTGCCTAGGGTGCCAAATTGCTTGGGTCCGGGCCTGCTGCACTACCGTATTTCTCATCTCAGTATCACTATATCAGTAAACGCTGATGCTTGCAGACCACTGAATACTGCATCATTTAAGGGCATTCATTACCACATGGACAGGATCAAACTCATGGTTCCTGTAATATTTAGACATTTTCTTCTGTAATTGAAGCGTTTGTTTTCCTGCAGCGTATTAAACTCCCTCTCCTGAATGTGCTGCGAGTGAGATGGAGAAAGTGAAAGTGCATCAGCACTGAGGAAAAATCTGATGTTCAAGACATGATCTTTAAATGAATGACATATTAAAACATGACAGAGACAATCACAGTGGAGTATTAATAAATCCTCTTTTTCCTCAGAGCCAAACAGATCCTCCAGCCGTATAGTGGAGCAGTGGAGGGTTCAGACGCATCAGTCCTGTACTCATCTTGGAGAAATCTCTTTTTGAGACTAACCTGGTTTGCTGTTGTGTCTCTTAATCTTGATGTATGTGTTGTTGCTCAGTTATCTGATAACAAGAATAACCGATAACACCTGAGCTAAAGCCAGTCAACACAGTCCCACATGTGCTTCAGCACCAAAACAGGAGTTGCGCTGAGATTGTGTTGGTGTGTTTAATACTAATCTAGCCTGAATCAGATGAGAGTGTGATATCGAGGGTGTCGGAGACGCTGATATTTAACTGTTAATGACACGTCTGGATCAGCAGGAGGAATTCTGCAGTGTTCACAGCACTGAACATGCTCCCACATCACCTCAGAGGAACACTCTGCTGGAGGCTGAGAGCACTCAGACACTCGCTGTGAGATGGAGATGTCTGCATGTGTGTGTCAGGTAACACACCTTCATATTCTAGAAAAGGCAGATAAAGTCTGCATAACCAACGACTGATCTCCTCCACCCGTGACCCACGCATGAGTAAATCTGCAGCCTGTTGATCAGCTGACCGGCGCATTATCAGCAGCACCTACCGAGAAAACAGAGCAATGATGAGCTGCTATTGCGCAGTGTCAGCCACAAGACGGAGCTCATCCAGAAGAACCAGAACCACATGTAGCATGCTAGCCTCTGCGCTGGTGTGGTGAGGTGTCGCAGGCATGGTGCCAACTGTCCTGAACTGTGCCACATTACACCAGAAAAAACGATTGAATGTTGTGTCATGGCGGCCGTTTGTCGTTTACCTGTCCCCACGACACCATGTGATCTGACCAGGGGCGGGGCTTAAATGTGCTGGGATTCAGCTCTGAAATGGCCGTCTGATTTAACACCACAGATACCGTCAGAGTGGGCAGCACAGTCTCCTCACAGCAAGAAGGTCACTGGTTCGAGTCCCAGCTGGGTCAGTTGGTGTTTCTGTGTGGAGTTTGCATGTTCTCTGTTGGCGTGGGTTTCCTCTACTGTCCAGACACATGCGCTATAGGGGAACTGATCAACTAAACTGGCCGTAGTGTATGAGTGTTTCCCAGTACTGGGTTGCAGCTGGAAGGGCATCAGCTATGTAAAATATATGCTGGAATAGTTGGCGGTTCATTCCGCTATGGAGCCCCCTGATGGATAAAGGGACTGAGCTGAAGGAGAATGATGAATGATAATGCCAGAGTTTGTAAACAAGGATAACCCTCCCGTCAGAGAGAGTGTGTGTGTGTGTGTGTGTGTGTGTGTGTGTGTGTGTGTGTGTGTGTGTGTGTGTGTGTGTGTCTGTCGCTCTGCATATTGAGCTAATCCAGCATCAGAAGCATCGGCTGTGATTTGCTGACCAGCTGCTGATGGAGCCGATTCACAGCTGAGTACACCACTGAAGAGCTGCTCAACAATGGCACACACACACACACACACACCCTCCGATGCACATTCACAGAGAGAGAGAGTGTACACAGCGGTGAAGAAACTTCAGTTATGAGCAGAAATGATCACGAAGGAGAACAAGAGCTGCAAACACCAGAGAAGAAGAGCAACACTGCTGTAGCCGCATCCATACAGGTGATTGATGAAGAGGATCTGCCTTTAAACGAGACCTGTTCTGTTCTGTTCTGCCCATCTACGAGCTGCGTCTCTGCTGTGTCTATAGAGTGTGTGTGTGTGTGTGTTCAAGTGTACCTGTCTGTGTGGACATGCGAAGCACTTTAAAGTCCACATCAAATCTACAAACGATATCTATTTTTTTAAACTCACATTCTTAAGGTGAATAATTAATCAGCTAATGCATATTAAACAGCTAATCTACAGTGCTGTAGAGAATGGCCGAGGGCTGAAGTGTACAGTACACTATAATTCAGCACAGTTGACTGCAGTAATGTCTAGTGTGCACTACAGCAGTAGTCAGCTCCCTACAGTAGCAGTACAGTGTGCTGCAGCACTCATTAGCAGAGCTGTGCTGTAGTGTGTGCAGTGTAGTCCTCTTCAATAGGCTTCGACAGCGAATCTCTCTGTGGTGTGCCCCAGTACTGTGCGGCGTCAGTGAGGGTGTGAGCATCAGTGCTGGATGATTAAACTCTTCTGATAATTAAAGTTTTTCAGCACAAACTCCCCATCGAAGCGCAGAGTCACGTGGTGGCGCGTCTGCCGTGGTCACGCCCCGCTCGCGTACGTGCGCGCTCCCGTTCAACGCGTGGTTCTTTCACGTTGCCGAGTGTAGCGCAGCCGCTCCGCGTTTTTAAAGATTTAACCGGCGCTCTTTTACATGTTTTAACCGGAATCGCCGCTCCGCGTCTGAGACTGAGGCCGGACTGCTCTGGGGCTGGAGAGGAGCGCGCGCGTGGCTCCGCGGCCGAGAAGGGATCGTTAGACAGCACGTTGCGGCGGACCTGAGGCGTGTTTGCTGGAGCAGAAATGGCCACCGAGGTGGAGACTCTGCCGCCGAACAACCCGCTGCTGCAGCCGGAGGAACCGCAGCACAAAGACGGAGAGTACCCGCTGCAGGAGCGCCACACCGCGGACAGCGGCAGCCCCGGAGCCGGGCAGGAGGAGCAGGCGGCCGGCAGGGAGATCAGCGAAGCCCCGCTGCCCAAGGTGAACCCGTGGACCAAGAAGATGAGCGGCGTCAACGGCCAGCCGGCGGCAGGTCAGTCTGTGTGTGTGTGTGTGTGTGTGTGTGTGTGTGTGTGTGTGTGTGTGTATGTATGTGTGTGTGTGTGTCAGTGTCCGGGCGCTGTGTGTGACTGTGAACAGCTCTCTCTCTCTCTCCGTTCACACACATACACACACACTTATGACAGCAGGAGCGCCGCGGTAGGCCTCGGTTTAGCGCTTCTTCACACACATAACCGAACACACTCACACAGTACCGGCGGAACACACACACAACCGGCCTATCTAAAAGCCTGAGAGCTGATCACACGCAGGACGGCCGGTTCTCGCTCACTTTTGCGGCTTTTCTGAACAAATGGCTATCGGTTAGCATTAGCATTAGCGGCCTGTAGTGTGTGTATGAGTGTGTGTGTGTGTGAGCGGCTCTGACAGGCCAGACCCGGTGACGCGTGTTCATCAGAGATGTGGAGGAATGTCTGTCCATCACTCAGTCCGAGGTGTCTGCCTGTCTGTCTGTCTGTCTGTGTGTGTATGTGTGTGCGGGCTCAGCTGTGTGTTGTCGGAGGACACGTGCGGGATCCACGTGCTTGCCGTGGAGTCTGCCGGTGTGCGGTAACCGCCTGATTTCTCGGTTTTTCGCTGAGAGAGCGGCTTAACGCGCGGTGTCGGTGAGGTTTGCGGTGTTTAACGTGTGTGTGTGTCAGGTGTGTTACTGTTAGCCGTTAGCCTCTGCTCTGTTATTAATGTCCCTCTGTTAGCCTGACATCTGGACTATCCCTGACGCGGACCTAAGTGAGAGCACCCAACATCAGCCGTGGCATAAGTGTAGAATAGATCCTGGTTATCCAGAGTTCCTCTCTGTGTGTGTGTGTGTGTGTCATGTGATCAGACGCAGAGGGCCGCTGGTGTTCTGACAGCACACTGACCTCAGATCAGCCAGATTACTCTCCCCCACTCTGCGGTCAGTGCCGTGTTTACATCCGGCACAAACAGCAACACTGTGTATGTGTGTGTGTGTGTGTGTGTGTGTGTGTGTGTGTGTGTGTGTGTGTGTGTGTGTGTGTGTGCAGACCCTAAACACAGCCCTCACACCGGCCTCCAGATGTTCAGTGATTCACTTTTGTCATTATGCACATTTGTGTCCTCATAGACCATGCATTCCAGATCTCTCACACACATATAGTTGCAGTGTTTGTCAATGAGCAGATCTGATGTGTGTGTGTGTGTGTGTGTGTGTGTGTGTGTGTGTGTGTGTGTGTGTTCAGTAGCGCTGCTCTGTTGTGTGTGTTTCAGTGTTGGTGAGTGTGTTTGAGTGTGTCTCTGCTCTCCTGTCCAGAATCATCTAAACGGGTCAGTTCTTCTCGAATAGAGGCGCAGGCTTCATCTGCTTAGGTTACTCTCCCCGTCAGCATACACACAGCGCAGGAGAGGGCAGTGTGTGTCAGTGTGGTGAGAGCGAGCTGATGGACGGCTCTGGCTATGAGTTCTGCATCAGACGGCACACGGTGGACACACATGACTGCAGATCATCTGTTATACACGGATATATCCATGATCAGCACTGTCAGTCTTCACCTGCTGCATCACTGACCCAGAACACACACACACACACACACACACACACACACACAGCTTTCAGAACGTGAGCTGAGCGATCACAGATGGATGAGGAGCTCTGGAAGGGTCAGTTCTCGAGCGCAGTGTGAGACGCGTGACCAACTGAGCGGTCAGCTCCACACTCTATATGGAACACACACACGTCAGTCGAGCCCAGACCAGCACAGAACCCCAGCGCTGTGTAGTGTTCTCCACACTCCTGTATCAGAGCTGCTGCAGGGTTCTGTGCTCCTCTGAGAAACGGCTGATGGTGATGGGCCGCGACAGCAGTGTGAGCTCAGTGTGTTGAATGCTGAAGCTCCTCGCGCTCTCCACATGCTCTTACACACAATATGGGGCTCGCAGGTCTCCTAAATGCCCTGCTTCTGCTCTACATCAGCTCTCCTCTAGATGCTCTCAGTAGTAGACCCACACAGATGTGTAGCCCACCGTTGAGTCTGTCTTTACTTTATGTGTAAATTTATGTTTATTCAGTAGGGATGTACCGGTATTGTAAATACCATCATACTGCAATATAATTTTTTTTCGATATTAGCGTAGTCGCATTTCTCGGTAAAACTATAGGTCTTCTGAGAAAATTTGCTCAGGCGAATGAAGCGAATGGGAGGTACCGGAAACTACAATTCCCATCAGCCCAGGCTTGGCCATCATCCTTGCGGTCTGTTGTCGCTACAGATCCAGTAATGCGGAAATGGAGTGTGCTGCTAGAAGCGGCCATCAAAAAGAGCTGGAAATGATCGAACCTGAAGCGGGTGTTGTCGCCGCACGCGTTCTGATCAGCTGTGTTGTCGCGCGCATACTGTAAAGCGGGGGGGGGGGGGTTGAGCGCGCATACTCAAGAGTGGTGTTGTCGCACGCCTACTGAAGGGTGGGACGGAGGGTGTGACACAGCACACTGTTCAGATTAATGCAGACATGAGACCTCTATCTCACTCATGGTTTGTCTTCTCAAGTGGGGGAAAGACAATGCACAACGTTACCCACTGCTGTCAACCTGGGCCAAGTCATATCTCTCTGTCCCAGAAACCTCAGTCCCAAATGAGAGGGTTTTTTCTGTTGCAGGGGACATTGTAAATACCCAGAGATACCAGCTTTTACCAGATTATATTTATATGATAATTTTCCTTTAAACCCATCTCTATCTAAGTGAGTGAGTGATTAAATGTTGAATGTGATGAGTTTTCAACAATACTAAATTGAAACTTTATTTTTTTACATGGTTTAATTTTTTTGTTATTAAAATTGAAGTTCCTGTTTCAAAGCTTACAGATAGATGGCTAATTTGTATGTCATTGACACTTTTGGCACTTTTTTGGAGTATTTTCATAAGTTTTGTTTTTCCTGTAAATGATTCAATAAATACCGTACCGTGACATTCATACCGAGGTATTACCGTACCGTGAAATTCTGATACCGTTACATCCCTATTATTCAGTTTTAAGTTAGTGTCACTAACATTGGTGTGATTTAATACCGGTGATATTCAAGTGTTGATGTGATTTATGCAGGTCCTCATGTTTTAGATGTATATTATATCAGAGACTTGCTTCCAGGTAAGTGGATCTTGGTTGTCCCCAGAGAGAGAGAGAGAGAGAGAGAGAGAGAGAGAGAGAGAGAGTGTGTGTGTGTGTGTGTGTGTGTGTGTGTGTGTGTGTGTGTGTGTGTGTGTGTGTGTGTGTGAGGAAATATTCACTTTTGGGCGGACTGTCGCTTTAAGCAGATAATGGATGTGTTGTCATGGTAACGGCTGTTTTCTTTTGCCGCAGAGCATTCTGGGCCAACAAAGGTGGTGAAGGCGGGAAACAGCAGACTGAGGAGAGGAGGAAAGGTGAGTGTGTGTGCATAAGTGTGTGTGTGTGTTTACTTTGAGAAACGCCCTGAACATGAGTGACCCTCTGCTGTGTGTGTGTAGGTGGGCGACTTCGGGGACACCAACAACTGGCCGACCCCTGGAGAGATCGCCACTAAAGAAGTGCAGGTGAGTGTGTGTGACGCAGACACACACACACACACACAGACGTGCTGCGGTGTTAACGTGCTGATCTGACAGGTGCTGAAGAAGCCGACGGTGAAGCGCGAGCCCAAAGGGAAGCGGGAGAGTGAAGAGAGCAAAGAGAACCTGAAGAGCAAATCAGACGACTCCGGAGAAGACAAGAACACTGACGAGGAGTCTCAGAGGAGCAGCCACAGGAGGAGAGGTGTGTGTGTGTGTGTGTGTGTGTGTGTGTGTGTGTGTGTGTGTGTGTGTGTGTGTGTGTGTGAGAGAGAGAGAGAATAAGCTAGTGCTGTGTGTGTGCATGCAAAGTGTTTTTGAATGATATTGTGTGTGTGTGTGTGTGTGTGTGTGTGTGTGCGTGAGAATGAGGTAGTGCTGTGTGTGCGTGCAAAGTGTGTTTAATTAATATTGTGTGTGTGTGTGTGTGTGTGTGTGTGTAGGTAATAAGCAGCGCTGGGTTCCTCTGATGATCGAGGTGAAGGCTGAGGGTCCCCGCGAGCGCTCTGCCTCCAGGAACAACACTCGCCCGTATGACGCTCACAGAGGCACACACAGCAGCAGGAACGGCCTCAGAGGTACACATACACATTCATACACACATGCACACTCTTCTCATTCTCACACACACACACACACATACACATCTCCCAGATCTCCTCCAATGGTGCGCAGCAGCAGTGTGTAAGCCCCTCCTCTGTGTGTTTGTCTCCTCAGACTGGCCGAGCGAGCGCTTCGAGCAGGAGCTGAAGGACGACCATGACGAGGTGTCGAGTGTGAAGAGCGACGGAGCGCCGTACAGGGCTGGGGCCCGGGGTCGAGGGCGTGGCCGGGGGCGTGGCCGGGGGAGAGGCCGAGGCAGGGGTATGACTATGGCTGAGGCAGGGGTGTGTGTGTGTTTACTGATCTGTGTGTTGTGTGCTGTTTAATGATCAGAGGGTGTGTGTGTGTGTGTGTGTGTGTGTGTGTGTGTGTGTGTGTGTCAGGTCATTATGACTACTACAGCTATAAGGGCAGTGAGGGGAAGGATGGCGCGTACGCACAGAAGTTCGGCAACTCCATGACCTACTACTACGACAACATGAGCAGCGCCGAGCTGTACTCAGTGGACCAGGACCTGCTGAAGGACTACATCAAGAGGCAGATGTGAGTGTGTGTGTGTGTGTGTGTGTGTGTGTGTGTGTGTGAGTGTGTGTGTGTGTGTGTGCGCATTTACTGACCTGTTAGATTCAGGCAGGATTGTGAAAGTGTGTAAGAGCTGGTGATGATGTGACACAGAACACACACATGATGAGGGCACACTAAGCGCTGTTGCAGCTGCTCCACCACACAGACATGAGTCCGGCAGCTGTCACTCACAGCAGTTGCCATGGTTACCACTCGTGATTGTGGGAGGAGCATCTTATTTAAACTGAACACAACTGACCGGGACTACAGCACAGCCTCCAGCCAATCAGAGTCCAGAGTTGATGAAATCAGATCTGCAGAGGGTCAGTGCTGAAGATGAACCCGTCTGCAGAGTTCACACACACACACACACACACACACACACACACACCACTGCGCACGCATCCTGCAGATTGTTTAGTGGAGTACACGTGTATAAAGAGAGCCCCAGCAGACTGATGATGATTGTGTGTGTGTGTGTGTGTGTGTGTGTGTGTGTGTGTGTGTGTGTAGCGAGTACTACTTCAGCGTGGACAACCTGGAGCGGGACTTCTTCTTGCGCAGGAAGATGGATGAGGGCGGCTTCCTGCCGGTGTCTCTGATCGCCAGCTTCCACCGTGTGCAGGCGCTGACCACCGACGTCAGCCTCATCCTGCAGGTCTCACACTCTCTCTGCGCGTGCATCTGAAGGTGTATGTGTCTGCTGTTTGTAACACCTGTGTGTGTGTGTGTGTGCGCGCAGGCGCTGAAGGACAGTAAGGTGGTGGACATCATTGATATGAAGATGCGCTGTAAGGAGGAACCGCAGAAGTGGCCGCTGCCGGACCTGTGTCTGCCGGATCAGGCCCAGACCGACTTCGCCCAGTTCATCCACTGCCCAGAGTTCATCCCGCGCCACCTGCCGGCCTCACCCTCGCCCGCGGGCACGCCCCGCTCCGGCACACCGCGCTCCTCCACCCCGCACCAGGAGCTCTGCAGCCTGAAGATGATGCCCAAGGGTCTGTCCGCCAGCCTGCCCGACCTGGACTCCGAGTGCTGGATAGAGGTCAAGAAGAGGCCACGGCCCTCACCAGCACGACCCAAGGTCAACACACACACACACACACACACACACACACACACACACAGACAGAGAGAGACATTAATAGTCATTCCCCAGTGTTTATCGTTCGCTGTGGACCCTCTGACAGCAGTTGTCGGTGTGTGTGAAGCAGTGGTGTCTGCCATGTGAACTCTCCTGAGTAGCTGCTTCAGCTGTGTAATTGGGCTTAGAGCTTTACTCCGCTGCACACCGGCCCACCAGGACCGAGTTTGGGCAGCCCTGACCTAAAGCCAAGTGAAAAACTGGCAGCCGCCTCTGCTTCACATCCACCGACAGCATTAACACACAGCGTCTCTCCTCATCGGAGATGCTTCTTCACATGTCCATGCTCATCACACACACTTCATATACAGACATGCCAACATGTCCATGCGGGAGAGGCTTCAGGGCCCGCTGTTTCCACTGTGGCATGTGTGCTGATGTTGTGGTGTGTGTGTGTGTGTGTGTGTGTGTGCAGAAGGAGGACGTGCGCTGTGTGCTGCAGATGGGTCAGGTGTCTGCAGAGGAGCAGGAGGAGCCGGAGGAGCTGGACTTCATGTTTGATGAGGAGATGCAGCAGATGGACGGCCGCAGAAACACCTTCACCGATTGGTCAGACGAGGACTCTGACTGCGAGATCGATGACCGGGACGTCAACAAGATCCTGATCGTGACGCAGACGCCACCGTACCTGCGCAAACACCCCGGCGGAGACCGCACCGGGCACCACACCTCACGCTCCAAACTCAGCAGCGAGCTGGTCAAGATCATCAACGACGGGCTCTTCTACTACGAGCAGGACCTGTGGGACGACAGCGGAGAGCCCGAGTACGCTATCATAAAGGTGAGAGACAGAGAGTGTGTGTGTGTGTGTGTGTGTGTGTGTGTGTGTGTGTGTGTGTGCAAATACGAGCCCGTATATTTCACTGCAGACAAAGAAACCCCAGAATATCAGATGTGTGTGTCTGCTCATCTTCAGTTGATGAGTGAATCTCCATCCTCTCCTGTCATTCAGAGCTGCAGTGATCAGGTGATCTGCTGAATGATGATGTGATGTCCACAGGTGATGTGATGATGATCTGCTCATCAGAAAAGCTCTAGTGCTTTAGGAGCTGAGATGGGTCGAGGATCTCCAGTTTGACAACAATTAGTAAACACAATGATCCTCAGAGGAAGAGAGGAAGACATGTGGAGATTTCAGAACAGCATTAAAGACTGAAGGAGTCTGGAGGAGTTTCAGTGCGTAAAGGACAAGAGCGCAAGCCTGAGCTGAACAACCGTGACCTCCGACCCCTCAGGGGGCGCTGCATCAAGAGTCCTCATTCATCTATAAGCAGATCAGCACATGGGCTCAGCACTACTGCGCTAAACCTGTGACAAGCAGCACAATACAGAGTCACATCCACAAACACCAGCCAACACTGCACTGTGCCAAGAGGAAGCCCTATGTTAACAGTGTCCAGCAGAGCTTCTCTGGGCGTCTGGGATGGAGCATCACACAGTGGAGACGTGTCCTGTGCTCAGATGAAGCAGTGTTTCAGGTGTTTCTGGGAGAAATGGACGCCGTGTGCTCCAGACCAAAGAAGAAGAGGATCATCCAGACTGACACCAGCAACAGGTCCAGCAGCCCGGCTCTGTGATGGTCTGGGGTTGTGTCGGTGCTCTGGGCGAAGGTGACCTGCTCTTCTGTGATGCTCCAGTAATGCTGAACAGCACAGAGAGATTCTGGACCTGCCTTCTTCTCCAGGGGAGAATACAGAGTTCAACAAGACACTGCAGAACCACACTCAGCTCACATTACAGAGAAGAGGAGACGGAGACTGGACTGACCTGCCCGCAGCCCCGACCTGTCTCCAACAGAGAATGTGTGGTGCATTATGAAGCACAGAGCCCGTACTGTTGCCCACCTCAAGACTTGTTAGGATGAAGAATGTGACAGGAGTACAGCTGAAGCTCCTCATCACCGCCGTCTTCAGTCTCTAAACGGCTTTATTAAGAGTGTTGATTGAAGAAGACGCTGTAAATGACGAGGAACACAGTGAATGATGTGCTGCAGTGGATCATCAGTCTGAGTGAGTGTATCAGTGTGTGTGTATACGCCTGTGTTCATGATATTAGGCTGGAGATTCTTCTGGACTCTGGTGTTCAGCTCAGTGGTGTGTGAAGGCTTGATTCTGTTCATCATGTGAGGGATTGGGCCGCAGGGGTCTGTTCTGGAGATGATCCGTGAAGTATTTTCCTGAAGGCAATCACCTGTCAGTAAAATCAAACCCGTCACCTGGCTGTATCTGGGAGACTCCATCAGTGCAGTATTGTGTGTGTGTGTGTGTGTGTGTTCTGGACGCAGCAGGACTGAATGCTCGTGCACAGTGTGTGTTGTGCTCTATTGTGTTGTGCTGTATTGTGTGGTTCACGTGCAGCGCTGTTAGCTGAGATGCTAGAAAAGCCAAGTAGTGTTAGCCTCAGTGTTAGCCTCAGTGTTAGCTTCACTGTTAGCCTCAGTGTTATCCTCTGCGCTGGTCTCCATGGAGGTGTGTGTCTCTCAGGTACGAGTGTCTCTCAGCATTGCAGCTGATTTCTGCTCAGTGTTTCTGATCCTCAGTGTTCAGACTCTGCTGCCTTTTCTGTAACGGTGTGTGTGTGTGTGTGTGTGTGTTTGTGTGTGTGTTTGTCTCCTCAGCAAGAGGTGGAGAACTTTAAGAAGGTGCACCTGATCAGCAGAGAGCAGTTTGACTGTCTGACGCCTGAACCACCGGTCGACCCCAACCAGGAGGTGCCGCCGGGACCCCCGCGGCCCACGCAAAGTAAGATTCACACACTGTGTATGTATATATGTGTGTGTGTGTGTGTGTGTGTGTGTGTGTGTGTGTTATGAAGATTGGGTGATTTTAATTATTGTGTTTTATATTTGTTCTGCCGATATACAACATTATAATTCTATAGGGATTGATTGATTGATTGATTGATTGATTGATTGATTGATTGATTGATTGATTGATTGATCGAGCTGTTCTATGATGAGCTGGTTCACTGTGGTGTAGTGCAGCTCTGCTCTGTGCTGTGGGGATCTGCTGTGTTCTCCAGTGCTGCTCTTCTAGAACTCTGGACAGCACTCAGGGGTTTTTCTAGTGGCCTGATCGGGTCAGTGGTTCAGATTTTTACTTGCCCTGCCAAAAATATAAGGTAATAGCCATTTCTTGTCCACATATTTTAAATAATGTGTCTAAAGCCGAACACAGTTTTATTCAGCACATGTATCTCTATATATAGGTGAAATGCACACTTTAATTGTGACACTCGCAGAGATCTAACTCAGAGAGGTCAGCCTCAGTCAGTTTTGTGTTAGTCTATCTGTTGAACTCATCTGTCTCTCCTCAATCTCCGTGTATGAGCGGGCGCAGCCATTTGAACCAGTTTCCATCCGGTCTCGTTCACTTTCCTAGAGGTTTGACAGCGCTGCTCCTGCTGCTTGATGTTGTACACTGATATTCTCTCATTTCATTATTCTGCTGTGTCTGTGTAGTCATGCACACACTTGTTTGTAGAGCGAGTAGTTTGGCTGTTTTCTCCCATAGGCGACTCAATCAGAAGTTAACAATCGCTAAAACCAGCACACTTCCACACTGAAGAATAGGGTAATAGGCTTAAATAATAGAGAGAAATAACAGATGAACCGGTGCTGTGCCAAGAAATGCACCCTCCGTATATCACACCCCTTTACAAAGTGCATACATTACCTTAAACTGATTTACATTAATAACAGAGTTCTGACAGTGACTGAGTTATACATGTTCATGTTCATACAATACATGTTCCCTTACAGAACATGTATATATGTAAATAAATGAACAGATTTAATTTAAATACACTACTGATTAGATTATTCAGGCGTTTAATGTGTGTTTTAGTTGAAAACTAAACAGAAGCAGGCTCAGGCCATCAGTCTGCACTGCTGTCTGTATCTGCATTTCTCATTTATTTGTAGACCCAGTTCTAGAATGCGTTTCTCTTCTTGTTCTGGCGTGATCCATCAACATAGTAATCACAGTAGCCTACAGTTTAATCAGTTCTGGTCTGGGATTGTTTAAATGTAGACTGTAATGCTGGTGGAAGTGTATGTAGGAGTGTGTGCATCCACCACAGGGCTGCAGATCATCAAGCAGATCAGTGCTGATCTCTCTGTCGAGGTGCAGGAATGAACACAGCACCGGCCTGATCCAGCATATTAGAGGAGTAAAATATGGAGAAATGATCAGCTGGTTGAGTTGGCTCAGTGTTCCTGACCGTTACACAGCCGTCTGTGATATTTCAGCCTGCTTTCACTGTCATATTCCACATGGAGCACACATTATCCTGTAGGAAAGCTGACCGGCCTGCATCAGCCCGATATACAGCTATATGAGGAGGGACTGTTACACAGCCGTAGTGCACTGATATAGCCCGCTGCAGCAGTTTGTTTTGTTTTCTCACTATGTTCAATCCACCGAATCGAGCCGAGACCACCTCAATCAGGCCATTTCAGAACGCTTGATTTAGTGCAGACCCGAGCGCAATGGCGGGATTCACACATGCCAGACGAACCGCGCTTACTGGGCAAACGAGACCGGTCCCGAAACAAACATCTGGGCGTGAAGCACCCTGTATTTACACACAATAGACAGCCAGAGCCAAATTAAACAGTGACAGTGGCCCGATCGGGTCACTAACCATCCTGACCACTGTCCCGAGAGCCTCGCATCCTGGCCCCGGGCCATCAAGCAGCCCTTATTGCAGCAGCTCTGGAGCTCACAGGGTCTCTAGTGTGTGTGTGTGTGTGTGTGTGTGTGTGTGTGTGTGTGTGTGTGTGTGTGTGTGTGTGTGTGTGTGTGTGTGTGTGTGTGTGTGTGAGCTGTGGAATCTGTGTTTGTTCTTCATCATCGCTGCACCTCCTGCTTGGTGTCTATAGTGTGTGTGTGTGTGTGTGTGTGTGTGTGTGTGTGTGTGTGTGTGTGTGTGTGTGTGTTCTCCTGCAGTCCCCACTGAAGCTCTGGCTAATAAGCTGTTTGGTGCCCCGGACCCGTCCTGCATGGCCCGCTCTCTGCCCACCACCGTGCCGGACTCCCCCAGCCACCGCAGCGCCCGGACACCCCGAACCCCCCGCACGCCACGACTCAAAGACGCCCAGACGCCGCGCTTCTACCCCGTGGTGAAGGACGGACGCCCGCTGGATGCTAAGGTACACACAGCAGGCTAACAGCGCACACACACAGCACTTGTCCACACACACACACACACACACACACTCATGCGGCAGCTGCAGACGGGAGACAGGAGCTCATCTGATGCCATCCTCACTCTCAGTGACCCCTGACCTGCCAGATCATCATGTGATTGAGAGGCCGGCAGTAGATCAGACTGCAGTGTTATCCGCAGCTCAGTCACTGTCTGATCATCTTGTTTGATCCTCTCCTCATCTCCGTCTGACGTGCTCAATCCTCCAGTGTGCTCCTCCAGCCGGAGCTGTGCTGTATCTGCACACACTCTCCTCATGAGGGAGCTCTGCTGAGGGGCTCAGCTCAGTTATTACAGTTATCAACTGTTTGTGGCTAAATGTGGAGGATCCTGCTGAAAAGATCATACTCCATATATCCAAGCCGACCGTGTGCTTAATGCAGCTCACCATCAGATCCGGAAAGAGGAGTAAAGAGTGGAGGAGTCACTGATGTGGCTGCAGAGAAGCTCAGACACACACACACACACCTTCAGGAGAGCGCTGCTGGACTCCATCAGGTGTGTTTGGGTCTCTGAGCTGCTGCAGGGTCACCTGCTCCACAGACTGGGCTATAGACCCTCCGCCAGCACCGCAGTGACGTCACATGTGACACACACACACACACACACACACACACACACACACACGTTTGTCCGCTCCTACTCTATTGATTTTCTTTGTAAGCCCGCGCTGGACAGTGTTTGACCGCTGCGCTCGCGTCTCGTGAGTTCTGAATCGCTGCATGTGTTGAACTTTAACACACAGCAGTGGACCAATCAGAGAGCTCAGGGGCGGGGCATCTGCTGTGATCCTCTGTTTATAGTATATAGTTGGCATGGTGACTGTTGTGTGTGCGTGCGTGTGTGTGCGTGCGTGGATGTGCAAGAATGAGCCCTGACTGTGTTTGTTCTGTCTCTCCAGACGCCGCGCAAGAGGAAGACGCGCCACAGCTCCAACCCACCCATGGAGTGCCATGTAGGCTGGGTGATGGACTCCAGAGAACACCGCTCCCGCACCGCCTCCGTCAGGTACACACACACACACACACACACACACATACTGAGAACAGCAGATTAGATGCACACACACACACACACACACACTGAGAACAGCAGATTAGATATACACACGCACACACACACACACTGGGACAAGCAGTTGTATTTAACACTGGTGGACTCCAGAATGTCCTTCACTCATGCATTGTCAAATGTGTGTGTGTGTGTGTGTGTGTGTGTGTGTGTGTTGATGTTTCCTCTGCTGACGGTGTGTTGTTGTCCTCCAGCTCTAATGCCAGTCCGTCAGAGGGCACGGCAGCGATGGGTAATTTCGGCTGCACTCCTCAGTCTCTGCCCAAGTTCCAGCATCCGTCACACGAGCTGCTGAAGGAGAACGGCTTCACGCAACACGTCTACCACAAATACCGCCGACGCTGCCTCAACGGTGGGTTACACACACACACACACACGCTCTGTTACACACGTCTGCGCATAACTACACTACACTACACACACTCGCTGTGTTTCCACCCAAAGATGTGGAGTGTTTCTGCATATGACAGGAGTATGGCACGAGAGACGTGTGAATAAAGCAGCGGGTCGAGGACACAGCCAGCCGAATATCAACACTGCAGCGTTTAGGAGGAGCAGCTGCGGCAGTCTATTAAATGAAGATGAGGCCGACACCATGTGGTGGTGTTTGAATGCGTGAGACGCGGAGCGGACACGCTCTGGACAGTTCTGGAGCTGGTTTATAATATAATAACACTGATGAGGAGGTGACGGCCGTGTAGAATGAGCAGATCAACTCCTCAGATGCTCTGCAGTGTGCTCAGCCGGCTGGATTCTCCATCACATGATCTCCTATAACATCATCACATGACCTTCACTAATGCACACACTGTCATGTGTTCAGTAAAACTGTTCCCAGCGCAGTTTATGCACATCTTTTATTATCGAATAAACCGTTCAGCGCACTCTGCTATACGCTTTTGTATGGTAACTGCTGAATGCACAGCTGATAACTGCAGGATATAGAGAGTTGCTCAGAGGCGTGATGTCTGCTGAACGCTCTGTCTCATTGACATTAATGTGTATATCGAGAGATCTCCGTATATTTGTCATGACACAGCGAACACATGTAGACGGCTGAGTTGAAGTGTTTAGCGAGCGTTTATGCACCGTCACATCTCGCAGCTCATCTGTCTGGAGTGAACAGCAGCAGCATTAAACTGGCGTGTTCATGCAGACGATGAGATGAAACATGGACACTAGTGCTGGTGTCCCTCCACTACAGCTGAAACTGAACAGAGTCTTCTGAACACTGGACAAACTGCTCTACATCACACATCGCTCTCGAGTTCAACAGAAGCACTGAATACACCGAGCGATGTGATGATGGAGCATCTGAAACCCTCTCTGGGGAATTACCCAAGCCCCATAATCTACTGTGTAGACACTAACAATAACTGTGTGTGTGTGTGTGTGTGTGTGTGTGTGTGTGTGTGTGTGTGTGTGTGTGTGTGTGTCCTGCAGAGCGTAAGCGTCTGGGCATCGGGCAGTCTCAGGAGATGAACACACTCTTCCGCTTCTGGTCCTTCTTCCTCAGAGATCACTTCAACAGAAAGATGTATGAGGAGTTCAGGCAGCTGTCGGTGGAGGACGGGAAGGAGGGATACAGGTCACTACACACTCTCAGCTTTCTCTTATGGCCCTGAACTCTCGGGCTGTGTCTGAAATCGCCTACCGCAGTGTGCACTACACATTCTGGGTTAAAGTTCACTACACGAGCGTTAGGAGCGTGTGCTCTATATAGTGTGGATTTGCGCACTTCAGTAGATCATGCGGGCACGTCCCCTGTGCTGTTTCTAGCATCCTGCATGCGGTGTGTGTGTTTCAGACACGCTCCTCATTCCTCCTCACTGCTCAGTTCTGATTAGAGCAGGAGGGCTGATTGGGTCGGCCGTGGTGTTGGATGATGCATGAGCTCAGTTAATGTGAAGCGTGGCTGATGTTGATGTTGATGTTCCTCAGGTACGGGCTCGAGTGTCTCTTCAGGTTTTACAGCTACGGGCTGGAGAGGAAGTTCAGGCCAGACATCTTCAAGGATTTCCAGGAGGAGACCGTCAAAGACTACGAAGCAGGTGTGTGTGTGCATGCGCGTGTGTGTGTTGAAACCGGAGCTGTTCACCATCCAGCACTCTGTGGAGCTGATGTTCTCTCCTTCACCCTCTGACAGGTCAGCTGTACGGGCTGGAGAAGTTCTGGGCGTTCCTCAAATACTCTAAAACCAAGAACATGGAGATCGAGCCCAAACTGCAGGAGCATCTGAGCAAGTTCAGGCGTCTGGAGGACTTCAGAGTGGACGTAAGCACACCTTCACCTGCTCTTCCTCTCTGTAGATTCAGCTCAGGGCACAGCGCTGGAGTTTCCCCCTGTAGCTCCGCTCTGCTGTGTGGGCAGTGATGTGCACACGGGTGTGGGGTCGGGCTCTTCCCTACAGTGGGATTCATAATGGGAAAGTCTGGAGTCCACTGTTGATCTGTTCAACTGAAGGATCATTAATAATGGACTGAGATTAGTGTAGAAACTCAGACGAGGCTGACAATAATGAGCAGCGGCAGCGGTGTTCCTCTCGACAGCAGCCGCTGTTCCTCAATCAGCCGTCAACACTTGAGCTGAGCTGAGAGTGGTGAAGACAGACAGACAGACAGACAGACAGACAGACAGACAGCACTCTGCCTGCTGATCAGCAGTGTTGGAGCATTGAGTACAAGTTTAATCCACTTCACATGTTCCCAAACAGCCCAAAGTGCTCAATAATGTTTAGCTCAGGGTACTGTGCAGGCCATGGCAGATGTTCAGCTTCACTGTCATGTTCATCAGACTGCTCTGTGTGTGTGTGTGTGTGTGTGTGTGTTTGTCTCCTGCAGCCGCCGATGGAGGACGGTGTGCGTAAGAGACACTCCTCCAGTGGAGACGGCCGCCGCCGCCACCCCTCACACCCCGGCAGCCGCAGCCAGACCCAGAGCCAGCTTCAGCCCAGCGGAGCCGCAGCCGGAGCCACCAGAGACGACAGCAGAGCCCAGAGCCAGCGGGACGCCCGGCCCCCCAAATGAGCATCACCCACACACCCCCGCATGACCCGGCTGACCACCTGACCCGCAGAGGGCAACACACACACACACACACACACACACACACCTGATGACTGCGACACACTCTGCCGTGTGCTGCCCTCTGCTCCGCCGCCGTGGTGCTGGTGTGTGGCTCAGACGCGGGACTCTGCTGCTCGGCTTCAGCTCATCTTCCTCCTCACACTGCATCAAACATTGATAGATACTGGACGACTAACACACGGCGCTGATGATGATGATGATGATGATGATGATGGTGGTTTTATGTTGCCTGTTTCTGGAGTCGCCGCCGCCGCCATTTTGGAGCATTTAACCATTGTGGAGCCGCGAGCTTCACTGACACTGAGGACCTGCTGCCAAATACATACCTTCCTGCAGGAGTGTGTGTGTGTGTGTGTGTGTGTGTGTGTGTGTTACAGCAGACGGCCTGCGGTCAGACATGAAGCATTCCTCTGGCAGTGGCGTCAGTACAGCCGAGCGCCGTCAGACTGTTGATCTCCTGTACATATGAGTTGAGAGGCTGTGTGTGTGTGCTGCGCTGTGTGTAGAGATCTCTCTGCTTCTGTCCTCTTATATGCGGCGCTGACGCGCTCACCGCCCTCTGATTATGGGTATGTTTTAGTATCACTCTTGCTTTCTTCAGCGTGACTAAAGGGAAACGGACCTCCATCATGTGAAGAAGCAGAGCCAAACAACCCCCCCCCCTCTCTCCCTCTGCCCCCCCCCTATCTCCCTCTCTCCCTCTCTCTCCCCTGATGAAGATGATTGAGTAGGTTCCTCTAGATCTCTGCTTGATGATGAGCGGTGTGTGTGTGTGTGTGTGTGTATGTTGCTGATGGCCGTCTCCTGTATGGAGTGGTCTTCAGTGGTCTGCCTTACGCTCAGATGATCAGCTGAGCTGTGTTTGGCTCCATCACGCTGTCTGTGCTGTTGTTTGGGTTTCATCATTTCTTTTTCACAGGCGTCAGCATTTCCCAGTCCACCATCTCCTCCATCACTGAGAACAGCAGCTGGTCGGTGTGTGTGTGTGCGCGAGTGTGTGTGCGAGTGTGTGTGTGTGTGTGATTAAAGCGCTCCGCCACTGAGAGCGAGATGGAGCCGTGCCAATCCCTGAAGATGATCAGCGCTCACACATGATGGAGGAGCGGAGCTGCAGGGCTGAACTCTGCTGTCCTGAGCGGCTCGGAGCTCTGCTTTGCTGTTTGTGCTGTTTGTAATTTGTAGGAAATTTTGCTTTTCTTTTAATAAATGAAAAACATGAAAAGGTCAGACGCTGACGTGACGTGTGGAGCTTTCTCAGTCCAGCGCCGGCTGGGTTATTCAGCAGCTCAGTGACCACCACTGAACCGGTCCTCCACCAGTACTCTCCTGTTATTGTTTACAGTCATGTGGGTGGGTCGGCTCATGAGAAGCGGTTCTCCTGCACAGATGCTCTATACTCATGACCTCGTCTCTCTGGGTGTTCATAACCTCTCTGTGAGGGTGAGGTGTCGCTGCAGTGATGCTGATGTTCTGCTCTGAGAGGTTGGGTTCTGGAGTGTCTGTCTGTGTTGTGGTCTCTTTAACCCCGCCCACTGCCAGTTCAGCCAATTATAGTTCAGCAGCGCGGGTTGCCAGATGCTGGAAAACAGCGTATTTCATTCACTCGGTGAGGAAGGTGACTGAAATGCGCCCTCTGGTGGACAGTAGCAGACTGAAATGAGCTGCAGATTCAGAGTTCCACATGAGGTGATTAATGAACAAGTAATGGCTCACTTCCACTGACTGGTACAGTACGGTTGGTTCAGGTCACCTTGATCAGGCTTGCGTTTCCCCTACCAATGGTACCCTTCTGGTGGGTGTGGTGTAGGACAGATTCAGTCGACGTCATTCCCGCTGGAGGAAATGTGTACAGTAAAGCTGTACGGGTCACTCACATATCATATGAGCAGCACTTCACACACATCAGTACTGTATACATGTTCATCACTAACCTTTCTATGAACAGGATTTGATTAACTGCAGATCAATGACGGTGTGAATAGCCTGCTGTAATTATATTAAATAAATATATTAATGCAACATATGAACACATTCAGCCTCTTACAGTCTCCGATACATTACTCACAAAAGACCTCCACACAGCAGACATCTAACATTTCAAAAACAACACACACAGCCCACAGTCAGCGCAGACCATCGTGTGTGTGTGTGTGTGTGTGTGTGTGTGGTCTTCAGCAGCACGTGTAGCCCCTGTTAGAGAGTCTCTCCATCACTCTTAGTTCATAATATGTTTGTTTAAAAGGTGATAGTAATAATAGGTAAACAGGGCAGTTTGATCGTGTTTGCTGGAAAGATAATGTTCCGGCTTCTCCTTGGCGTTTCCGCGCTTCACTCTCGCGTTTGTCAGCTTCTGACAGAATCGGGTTTCAAAACACGTCAATAATCAAGCGCCCGTTATCATCATCATCATCATCATCAGCTCTAGAAGAGTTATTTCAGATTCAGACGCGCAAGCAGGAAACCGCTCGCTCTTCAGACTGGCTCGTGAAAAACTACAGGGCACAGGGGAATCTGCTCTGCTTTTTGCTGTGTGGCTGTTCATCAAGACGATGATGAGGTTTGTTTGAGCCGGGTTGACCATGGCTCGTTATTATACATGTATATATAATTCTGCTGTAATCTCTCGGCTGTGTATTTTAAACATGGCGGCTCTTTTGTTTACATTCCGGCTTGTTGCGTAAGCCAATGACGTATCTCGATTAACCAGTAGCGTTCAGCTGCGCGTGTAGCTCCGCCTTTTAGTGTCCTTTTGAAAGCTGCTGAAAAACTGGTGCAGCCATACAGTGGAAACGGCCATGAAAGCGTACTGAACTGTACCGCACCATCCCACTCAGCGAATATGGGCCATAATATAAACATTAGGAGTGTGAACATTAGGTGAACAGGTCACCCTGTAACCCCGTGTCCTGACGACACGCTACATGAGGAGATGCGCAGTGATGAGAAGTTTACAGCTGATGAAGCAGGACAGAAATGTAAACACTGAAGCACAGAATAGCGGACTCACTGCTCTCAGCACAACACTGAGCTCTATACTCTCATGAAGACACGTTACAGCTCGTGAACAGGGTTAATGTAGATGCTGGATCACTGATGTGTGTGGGTTTACAGTTCTGAAGTTCAGTTTCAGACGCTTTATTTATTCTTCAGATCTGAGCTGAACTCTGCTGCTGCTGTTAGTAATGTGCTGATAACGTCAGTCAGACTCACATTATCAGTGTTACACACTGAATACAGCACGTGAGCTGAGCGGATCAGTGTCAGTGTTCAGCTGTGAGGAACAGACGCCGTCTCTAATAAACACATTGAGCTGTTGGTTAGGACAACACTCGACTTAATATGGGAATTTTCCTTCTGTCGCGTGCCGCTGCTTTAGGACACACTGTAGGCTCGAGAGTCAGGCACGCTCCTGTTGATGTCAATCTGGCAACCTGTGCTTGTGTGGGCTGGGCAGAGGAGGCGGCGAGTGAAATGTGTAATACAAGTGTAATACCTAGCTCAACCACTGGGTGTTTAACACACACACACACACACACACACACACACACACACACACACTGCAGCTGTAATCATCAGCGCGCACTCGTGGTTCATGTTGCTGCAATAATCGCTGCTTCAGACATGTAAAATAATCTGGATTCTCTTTTTGACTGGAGTTTTCGGCTTCCTCCATTGTGTGTCGTTATTCTGCTGGTTTCAGGAGGAACTCTTCATTTGGACTCATTATCGCTGAACACAGCACTACATGTGTTGCTGATCTAGAGTTTGTAGATATTTAGACTAGAAAGATTTAGACTGTGTGTGTGTGTGTGTGTGTGTGTGTGTGTGTGTGTGTGTGTGTGTGTGTGTGCATGCTTGTATGTCAGGAGCTGGAGTGTGGAAGGGTCTGGTAACAGGACGGTTCAGGTGCAGCTGTTAGGTTATGGTGTGGGCTGTGGTCTGCAGGACTGGACGCTGCTGTAGGGGTCCGTCCGCTCCACAGGGTCTTAAGCTCTGTCAGTTTTTAAAATTCTTAAATGGACTGAAATACTGCTGCTGTTGGTCGTACGTCATTTAGTCAGGGTTCATTCTTGCTATGTGGATTACTCCATGAGCTGGATTGGGTTATTGATCCAGGATCGTTTGGTTCTTCAGAACTGATCTGAGAGTTGTTGTCATAGCAACTGGTCTAGTAGCTCATCTCATATGAACAGGATTAGATCGGGTCAAACAAAGGCAACACTGAGTGCTTATACTGAACGCTGATATGATTGATGCAAACACTATGGAGAATAGTAAAACATAGATTTTTATTTGGTTTGCACATGTACTTGCTGAATTATTTCAAGAAATAAATTGCAATATTTCAAGAAGAATTAATTAAATGAATAAAAACTACATTATTTCATTTATCAGAAACAAAAATTTAACATTACACTGAATTCATATTTTTTTGTGTGCCACCTCAAGATTCGGTGGGGCCTCTTCTGGCCACCCCTAAGAAATTTTTCTGGGGGTGCCACTGGTAAGCTCTGATTGGCTGAGGAAAGATCATGTGTTAGATCACCAGCGCTCGCTCTCTCTCTCAGAAATCGTCCTCTCAGTGAAGGATCGCCAGATTACACGTGTTTATTCATGATGATTCTGACCCACATGATGATTTAAAGATCAGGTAATGGAGTTTCAGAGAGCGTGATTTCAGCATGTTGATAAACATCCAGACACTGAATAATGAGCAGGGGGCGGGGCTCTCTTCAGTGCATCACTCCATAAAGTGCTAATTAACATTAAGAGAGGCGTGGCTAAGAATATGAATATGCAGTTGCTATGGAAACCCTCATGCTGACATCATCAGGAGGATATAGATATGAGCGTTCTTCTGGAGAAAGTCTGATTTGTTTTATTTGTGCTAGAATAAAAGCAGTTTTTAATAGTTTTAAAGTCATGTTAAGATCAATATCATTCACCCCTTCAGCAATATTAGTGTTGGATTGTCTCCAGAACAAACCACTGTTATACAATGACTTGCCTAATTACCCTAACTTTACCCTAATTACCCTAGTGAAGCCTTTACATGTCACTGTAAGCTGAACACTAGTGTCTTGAAGGATATCTAGACTAATATTATGTGCTGTCATCATGGAGAAGAGGAAATACATCAGTTATTAGAGATGAGTTATTGACTCTGTCATGATTAGAGATGTGTTGGGGAATCTGCTGTTCATCAGAGATTAATCTCAGCAGCAGGTCTGATCAGTCTGACTTCAGCTGTGATGTCTGATCCTCCAGTCTCCTGCAGCGCTGCTCAACATCATCAGCAGACCTCATAACCCAAGTGTGTGTGTGTGTGTGTGTGCAGTACACTGGTCAGCGGGCTGTAAACGCTGCGCTCACTGCTGTGTTTTCTTGCTGTGTTCTGGGATACTCTCGCTCAGCGGCGTCAGACCCAGCAGAACCGTGTGTCGCTCGTACGCTCGAGAGTTCCTGAACTTCTCATCCGTGCCGTGCAGACGATCCAACACTCCCAACACCCCATAACACTGATTAAACCTGCAGGACACACACACACACACACACACACACCAGCTGAGTTCACATGCAGAGACGAGGAGAAGATTTCTGTACAACACTGGAGTATCTCACATATCATCAGTGAATGATCATCAGTTGGTGTTTCTGTGTGGAGTTTGCATGTTCTCCCCGTGTTGGTGTGGGTTTTCTCCGGGTGTTCTGGTTTCCCCCACAGTCCAAACACATGCGCTATAGGGGAACTGATCAACTACACTGGCCATAGTGTATGACTGTGTGTGTGTGTGAATGAGTGTGTGTGTGGTTGTTTCCCAGTACTGGGTTGCAGCTGGAAGGGCATCCACTGTCCAAAACATATACTGGAATAGTTGGTGGTTCATTCCACCTTGGAGACGCCTGATGAATACGGAGAATGAGTGATCTGCCGGTGGATGGAGCAGGGTGATGGTATTGATTGTGTAAAGCAGACTCTGCTTGCTTTAAGCAGAAACTCAGGTAATTTCGGCTCGTTATTTCTGAAAGCAAGACTATATAGTGCTGGTCTAGAAGATAAGAGTGACGGTGAACTCCAGCGAGCCCTGAGCGTGCGAGTGGTCAGTAAATGAGTGATATCTGCAGGGTTGGTGGATGATCAGCACACAGCCGCTGTGTTTATCATCAGTGTATCAGACTGACAGATCCACTATCAGCAGAGCAAAGGACACGCCACGAGCCCTATGAAGAGCACAGAGGAGGACGGCCCAGACCGCACATGCTAAGAGCAGATCTGTGTCCCTCAGAGGAGTCGCCAGCGCTTCAGTGTTCAGTACCACATACAGAGGAACCAAACTACAACAACACACTGTCATTACATAATTACACCTTTATTAATGACGTTCAGCAACATTCAGCTGCTTAAACCCTGATCCAGACATCTGTTCTGCAATCATAAAACTTAATTCATGTTCATAGAGAGAAAATAAAACACATTCAAGATGTGAGGAAGTGCTTCAGACTGATGAATATGCAGATGAGCTGGTGTTTGTGGTGCTCAGACTGATGAATATGCAGATGAGCTGGTGTTTGTGGTGCTCAGACTGATGAATATGCAGATGAGCTGGTGTTTGTGGTGCTCAGACTGATGAATATGCAGATGAGCTGGTGTTTGTGGTGCTCAGACTGATGAATATGCAGATGAGCTGGTGTTTGTGGTGCTCAGACTCACTTGAGATGGTGGTAGTCGTGGAACTCAGGCGAGGGCAGCAGGGGCAGGTGGTACCCGCAGTGGGAGACGGTGGTGACCAGCAGAGCGATGGTGAACCACAGGCTGGTGGTGGAGACGTGGGAGCCCAGCAGGAGTGGCCCTATCAGAGCCGGCAGCATGTTGGACAACTGCACACAGATGGAGGAGGACAGAGGATCAATACCGCATTCACACGGCACACATACATGTAAGCAGGAACAATATCACAGTGATTCTGCTTTACTCAGGTCAGATTCTGCCTCGTTCATATGCTTATATTGATCTGATATGAGTGATATCCATGCACTGGTGTGTGTGCAGTGTACACGGGGGATCAGTGTTCACCTGTCCATGTGAGACAGTAAAGACTCTTTTAGAGCAGAGCAGAGACCTGCATGAGTTCCCAACTTTACACCTCACATGCAGCACACAGAGCTTTAATAATGTGCTGTAGCTCCAGTAAAGCATGTCAACATGTTAATGACAGAGAATCATCTGAAACCCTTGGAACAGATGTGTGTGTGTGTGTGTGTGTGTGCGGCCGCTGGATCTTACCACATGCTCGACCGGATGAGCGTAGAGCGCCACCACGCCGACAGGAGCCGTCCACTCGTGATGGATCTTGTGGATGCTCTTGTAGAGCGACGGATGGTGAACGAGCCTGAAACAAGCAGATCAACAACTCTCTGTCATTACACAGCTCCATCTGGAATATTCAGTCCGTCATAGACCCGTCAGACAGCAGCCTGCTCTAGCAGAGACACTAGAGAGAGTCGCATCTGCTCAGCTGTGCTCATTCCTACAGAACCAACATCTGTGAGAGATCAAATCTGGATGTAGAGCGTGTGTGTGTGTGTGTGTGTGTGTGTTGTGCGTCTCTGACCGGTGTGTGTAGTAGAAGAGGATCTCCTCCATCAGCCCGCAGAAGGCCAGCTCCAGCAGCACCCAGTGAAAGGTGGGCAGCTCGGGGCCGCAGGGGTCTCCACGCAGCCGCATCAGCTGGTAGGTCAGCGCCACCACCGGCCCCGACAGACACACCTGATTAAACAGCACCGTCTTCACCGCATGCCACAGCCGGCCCGTGTCCACCTGCAGGACAGCGCTCAGGTTAGAGATACAGCAGACGAGGGTTCTCTCAGAATAAAGCCGGACAGGTTGATCAGCAGCTGATGAAGGAGACTGAAGGGGTTATTCTGAGAGAACAACCGACCGGATGTGCTTTACCCACTTATTTTACTGCTACTGGCAACAAAACAGAACAATTAGACACTAAACATTGTTCTGAGCTGTAATAGTTTATTCATTCTTTAATTAACACTGACAGAAAGTAAAACAGCTGCTGGAGTATACACTAACCTGCGCATTATTCAGACACTAGAGCGCGGCGTGACACCAGCAGACACACATATGACTGTGAATGTATGGATGAAGGTATTCACTGACGGGGATTCTCAGTTCCTGGATGAGGCAGTGTTATTCAGCCATTGTTATCTGGGAATAACAGAGCTAGGAATGTTGAGATTTACCCATCAGAAGTGTGTATTCCAGACAGCATGCAGAAGAGTTATCGATTACAGCCTTTATCAATAAGTGCTGTGGTTTACTAGAGATGTCAGCTGTGGCAGCTCAGTCAACAGTGCTTCATCACACTGATTACTGACACGGTTTCAGTTTACTAGAACTTCAGTGTGAAGCTTCAATGTAAAGATGAATGCAATTGAACTGAAAGCTGCAGAGTACCGCAGGGCTCAGGTCTTGGCTCTTTGCTGTTCACATTGTTTATGCGAACTCCAGGAGTTATTAAAGCACAGAGCTAGTTTCCACTAACCCAACACTCAGTCAGTGTAGATTTAACACACATCTCTCCGCATTAGCACACACATAACACAAATGCAGAACGCCTGAAAGCCAAATCCTCTACAACAGGGGTGTTCAAACTTGGTCCTGGAGAGTTTATCTCCAACTCGCTTCAACACACCTGCCAGGAAGTTTCTAGTGTTTCTAGTAAGAGCTTGATTAGCTGGATCAGGTGTGTTTGATTGGAGCTAAACTCTCCTGGACACCGGCCCTCCAGGATCGAGTGTGGACACCCCTGCTCGACAGGATGGGTAGTCTGCATTATTGAGGACAACAGAGCCGGGAACACTTCTCAAAAGCACACTGTAATGTGAAAATCACCTGCGCTTATGCAAGTGTGTTTCCATAATCCTGGACCCGGCCCGTATCCTGACTGATAAGCTCAATATGCTCCACTATCTGAACGACTGATATGGATTTCTCTCATTTTTATCTGTATGTCAACACTCTACATTGCATTACGCGTGATCTGACAAACTGAACATCTCCCAACGCAAAGGTGAAAGTGATGCAACAAACCCTGGTCATGTCCAACAGGAGATGACACTGACTGAATATAGGCAGATGTTCACTCAGAGGAGGAAAGTGAGAGCAGTCAATGCTCAGCTCTATTCCAACACTTCTGCACCTCTGACTGATCGGCTCTGCTCTGCTTTAACTCCTCTCACAGGTCGGCGTGTGCAGATATGCTGCTGCTGTTGTTCTGTAGGTTCAGGGTGAAGGTCAGTCAGTGCTGTTACTGTCGAGCAAATCATCGAGTCCATCAGAAAGCCCAGAGAAAACAGCTCCGTCATCAGCGGACTCTGAACTCGCTCCACCAGCAGGGACATGTTCAGAGCGTTTGGTTCCTTTCACACACACACACACACACACACACACACACACACACCTGGATGTTTTTATTCTCTATGCTGATCATTATATTGATCGCAGATGCTGTGTCATCTAAACTGAAGCTCCACGTGATCCGTTATCATCAGCACAAACACGGTTATCAGCAAGGGAAGCGGTTATGGCTTTACAGGCTCATATTTACAGGACACAGGGCAGATAATGATGAACTACAGTCCAGTAACAGCACAGGAGAACATGTACAGTGATGTAGGAGCACATGCGGGAACAGCTCTGATGAGGGCACGTCAGCTGCAGATGCAGGAGTCCTGCGGTTTACTGAATAACACGGTAACCACACACACGTCACCACAACACCAGTCAGAGGAGGAAAATACATCACCTGAACTCTGTATAGATATAGGAGACACGACTATTAGAAGATCTGGACGCTGACGTTTCTAAATATGGAGAAAATCGATGCTCTTTACTAAACAAAACATGTAGTTTTGATCTATTTACACAAATATTCCCGCGTGACCCCTGACTCTCCCCATGAGGAGGTCGTGTGCTGCAGTTTCACATAGGTTAACACAGGATTGTTTCCTCTGCTGGGATAAAAACACGCTTCACCACAAAATATTGAAGGAAAAGTCCAGTGGTTTAGACATTTCTGAGTGTTTTTCTTCTGTTAAATGAGAGACTTTGAGGAATGCTGGAAGGAAGAGAGCCTGATTCCATAGCTGGAATAAATAATACAGTCTGCCTTCTCCAACATTCTTCAGAATATCTCCCCTTCTGCTCAACAGAGCTCAAACAGGTTTGGAGGATGAAGAGCTGATGCCATGATAACTTACATTTCTGGCTGAACTGTGCCTTTAAGGCTTGAGGTTATCACTGATTAATTAATTACTGATATCAGTTTAATAGTTCATAGCCCTTTAAAATAGAGTCGTATATACTGCAGAACTGTCCTACAGCTCATATTACACATTATAATTCATTATTCATTCATTATCATGTTGCAGTGATAAAGGGATGTAAACACTGCAGTGTTTTCACGCATGGCATTGCTCAGTGGTGTTCACAGTGAATGACAGAGTTTGAGAGAGCAGCACAGTACCGGGCTGTTTTTGTCGGTCTGAATCCGGTAGCGTGTGATGAAGTTTGGTTTTCCAGTGACGTCCACCAGCATCAGCAGAGCATTGAACAGCCAGAAGGAGAGCGTGGGCACCAGCATAGTGCCTGATCACACACACACACACACACACACACACACACACACACACACACACACACACACACACACACACACACAGACACACACACAGACACACACACAGACACACACACACACACACACAGACACACACACACACACACACACACACACACACACAGCAGTAATTATAAATCACTGATAAATTGATATCCTGAATTTATGTAGTTCACTATATATCATCATGTAGTGTCTTTCTTCTGTCGAACACAGAGGAAGATATTCTGAAAAATGCTGGAAACTGGTAACTATTCACTTCTATTTATTTCTCCTGCATTGGAAGTGAATGGTTACCGATTTTCATCATTCTTCAAAATATCTTCTTCAACTTATCCAGCATGTTTTGCACAGCGGATGCCCTTCCAGCCGCAACCCAATACTGGGAAAACCCATACACACTTATTCTTGTACACTACGGCCAGTTTAATTCATCAAGTGGTGACCACTGAAACACGATACCTTCCATTATGGATATTGCTTATGCTATTATCAGGATATTGATGCTGACTTTTCGGTATATTGTGCAGCCCTAATTCATGATTCACTCCACACACACTCAATCTAACTGAATGTGCTGTTTTCAGAGCTGTTCAAGCTCTCTGGTCCTATCACAGAAACACTAGACATGTCAGTGTGAGGTGTTTCCCCTCAGGTGCAGCCCTAATCAATGCTTCTAATACCAATAATCATTGCTAATCAATAGATGTCTTACCGATGAAGAAGAGTGCGGTCTGGTTTCCGCCCATGGCCTGGTGGATGCGGCTCCACTGCGTCTGCCAGAAGTCTCCAGACGCTCCCCAAAACCTCTGCAGATGCCTGAGGAAACAAACAGCAGCGCTCCACACGTCACTGACCGCCGCCGCCACTAATAATAATATATATTTTAAACATTTAAAGTTTACGATGCAAACCCAATTACATCTTCTAGTTTGGTGAGCAAAGTGAATCTCATATAATAAACAAATGAATAAATTCTTAAACAGAAAGACATCAATAAATAAAGTTCAATAATTTGAGTCAAAGTTACATGTGGAGTGAGTAAAGTCCAGCAGAGCGGATCAGCTCACCATGTGACGGAGTTTCTGAAGCCGATGAGGAAGAAGAGGCCGGAGCCGATGACGAACGCTGCCTTCCTCAGCGAGTCCCAGACGCCGCCGCTGCTCTCCTTTACATACAGAGAAGAGGTCAGATGCTAAGAGACGATATATTATATTAGCACATTCACAGTATCTGTCGCTGATCTGCTGGTTATTATGAGATAGATAATAGATGCTAATCTGTTTATTAAGCATTAGCGTCTAGTGAATTCATCATCTGTTAAGCGTTAACTCTACATTAATAAACGTTAATAAATAGTTTATAACTGCAGCTACAAATGCTCTACTCTAGACTTATAAACACAGGTGTAAAGTGCTTAATAATTGTACTTTCATAACGTTTGACTGGTTGATTTTTCATTACTAAATTCAGTATTGCATTATTTACAAACCATGTGTATTTGAGAGTAGTTGGCGGTTTTTAAGATCATTCAGAATGAGTTAGTAAATGATTAATAAACTATTGAAATTAACTTTTATATATATATATTATTCAGGCATATAGTAATGGTTACTCTGTATGTTAATAAATGCTTTATTAACTCATCTTCATTCAGTTCTGTGAGCTAATCTAAAGTGAGGACTGTTCATGCTTTATAAATCCCTTATACATGACAATTGAAGGCTCAGTAATAAATGAACAATACTCTTTGTAATCTTATCTAAAGTAGAATGACTGTAAAGTTTAAACATTGCTGAATAACAGGAGTGTCAAAATACGACATCAAATTGGATAAAACAACAACAATATAATAATTTAACAACATAATAATTTAACAAAATATTAATTTAACAATATAAAAATTTAACAACATAATAATTTATCAACATAATAATTAAACAACATAATTTAACAACACAGTAATTTAAAAATATAATAATTTACCAATATAATAATTTAACAACATAATAATTTAACAATATAATAATTTGACAACATAATAATTTAACACAATATTAATTAAATAATATAATAATTTAACAATATAATTATTTAACAATATAATAATTTAACAATATAATAATTTAACAACACAGTAATTTAAAAATAAAATAATTTAACAATATAATAATTTAACAACATAATAATTTAACACAATATTAATTAAATAATATAATAATTTAACAATATAATTATTTAACAATATAATAGGATGCGATATTTAAACTGTACAGTAATTTTATTTTAGATAAGGTTGCAAATATTTATGTTTCATTTGATGCAGTTTGATTGTGTATCTTCAGATGAACGGGAATGAATAATGTTGTTTATGTTCTTTTTTCCTGTTTAGAATTTAACTGAGCCTTTAATAGTCATTTATAATGCATTTATAAAGCATGAATAGTCCTCACTTTAGATTAGCTCACAGAACTGGATGAAGATGAGTTAATAAATCATTTATTAACATACAGAGTAACCATTACTATATGCCTGAATAATAATATATATAAACGTTAATTTCAATACTTTATTAATCATTTACTAACTCATTCTGAATTATCTTAAAAAGCAACTAACCATGCTTAAATAACTGCACTGTTAATGATGCAAGACTTAATATATAATTAATAAATCATTACTAAAGTATGAAAACACAATCATTAAGCACATTATAAATGTGGCATTTGCAGTTATAAACTGCTTACTAATGTTTATTAATGTAGGGTTAATGCTTAACAGATAATGATTTGACTACTTACTAATGCTTAATGATTGATTAATAGTGTGCGGTTATTATAAAGTTACTGAAATACTGCTGTTTACTATTAATATAATGTATGCAAATATAATGTTTCTGAACTAAACACAGCTATAATATAATAAACATTTTACTATACTGCTATTAGTTTTTAATACAGTAAAATCTAAAGTATACTCCAGCATTTCCCACAGTTGATCAGTAGACTGTAGTAACACTGCAGTATGCTGGAGCACTCGTTAGCAGAGAGCTGTAATATGTACAGTATAGTACACTTTACTGTAGTGTGCTTCAAAACACTACTGCAGATCACCATCATACTTGTTTAATGATTCAGTAAAGATAACCAGCGACTCTGAAACATCACTACTGGTAATGAAGTCAGACACATGTTTATAACAGATGAAGAGCCCATACTAATATTAGCAATAACAGGGCCGGAGTGGGACTCCTTTTCAGCCCTGGAGTTTCAAGCCTCAGACCGGCCCACCTCAGTTCACGACTGACTATATTAAAATAAGGTCATTTCCAAATCAGTTTCTAATGACACTATCACGTATTTTTTTGAGAAAACAGCTGCTTTAGAACTTCAAATGTTCAACAACCCTAACAGTAGTATATGTCTTAACAATAAAAATGAAAAAAAAAAAACCCTCTCAGACGAGGATCAAACCCGGGTCCGCAGTGTCATAGCCTAACGCGCTAACCACGGGACCACAACAACTGTGCGTAAAATAGTGGCTCGTCTTAGTTATATAATCATTAACCAGGCTGCGAGAAAATAGATAAAAAGAGCAGAGCTTTGGTAAAATAATTAATAGGAAGACTGTGGTCAAGTAAAAAAAATAATTAATGTAAAAAGTGTGACTGCTGAGAGCAACAGATTCTGGAGCTAGGGACAACGGCCCTCGCGGCCAAAAAACGCACCGGCCCACCGGGAATTCTCCCGGTCCTCCCGATTAGCCAATCCGGGCCTGAGCAATAATGATGATAACACACAGAACACACGCAAGACGAAGCGCGACAGTACAGTAAACAGAGCCTGTAATGAAGTGAATACTCACTGTGGCCATCCTGTGAGTGTGTGTGTGTGTGTGTATAAGAGTGTGTGTAGATAAGTGTATGAGTGTGTGTGTGGAGCTCCCGCAGATGACGGACTCCGAACTGACGGACCGCAGCCGGACTGAAATGTTTACAGTCGAGCTCTTCTGTTATTGGACGGCAGAACTCTCTTCAGTGATTGGACAGCCGCTGGTCAGCTGACAACATCAGCCACCGCAGCTGTAACAGCAGAACTGAACCAACATCAAACAGCTGCGTGTGTTAACTGCATAAATAAATAAATTAATTAACACATAAATAAATAATATTAATCATTACAAAAAAATTAATTAAAAAGAAAAGCAGGCAGAATTAATAATATGCTAATCAACTAACCTCCTCTCCCCTCCTCTCTCTATTGTAATTATTATATTTTATTTATTAATTATTTCATTTTTTTATTTATTTTTGTATGTATTTATATTTTAATATGATTTAAATTTAATTTCATTATTTTTTCATGGTGTAGGGTTCTGATGTGGATGTCAGGGTTTTGTTATGGTTTCGGATGTTGAATATTCAGCAGCAGTGATGAGAAAACACCGGTGTTATGCAGAATATCAGCTGATAAAGCCTCCTCATGCTGGCAGATCACTTCCTCAACACTGTGTCTGCTTGTTTGTTTGTTTATTTGCTGTGTCATTTGTTTATTTATTTATTATTTTTTAATTGCTCTAACAGACTGATAGCTCCGCCCTAAAAGACCGCCCCAAATGACTGATAGCTCCGCCCTTAAAGACTGACATCCCCGCCCCAAATGACTGATAGCTCCGCCCTAAAAGACTGACATCCCCGCCCCAAATGACTGATAGCTCCGCCCTAAAGGCAATCCGTGTGATTTTGAGGGGAAGGGAAGGTTCAGCTATTCATTCTCCTACAGCTTAGTCTCTTTATTAATCAGGGACCGCCACAGCAGAATGAACCGCCAACTATTCCAGCATATGTTTTGCACAGTGGATGCCCTTCCAGCTGCAACCCAGTACTGGAAAACACCCATACACACTCATTCACACACACACTCATACACTGCGGCCAGTGTAGTTGATCAGTTCCCCTATAGTGCATGTGTTTGGACTGTGGGGGAAACCGGAGCACCCGGAGGAAACCCACACCAACACGAGGAGAACATGCAAACTCCACACAGAAACACCAACTGACCCAGCTGAGACTCAAACCTGAGACCTTCTTGCTGTGAGGCCATAGTGCAAAGCACTGAGCCACCGTGCCGCCTGGTTACGATACTGAAAGATGTTGAGGGCAGATGGAGATGTAGAGAATGCTGAAGCGCGCAGGTACGCCGTTGATATCGAGCTTCACTACACACACAGGTAAGAGGAGCAGAGTGTACTGCAGACAGTCGCCAGAGGGCGGCGACAGCATAGTGACAGTTCAGCTGTGCCGGAAGTGCTGTACCGGAAGTGCAGAGCAGCGGATCTCACATACAGGATCGGCAGGATGAGCTCTGCCCCGCGCCGGTTCCGCTGCTTCGCGCTCTGCCTGTGTGTGATCAGCGGACTCACCACACTCTCCGGTACACACACACACATACCACACTCTCCGGTACACACACAGACACGCGCACACACTCTCTGACAGAGGTAAACAAAAACACACTCGCCTGGAGCTGGAGTGTTCGCCGTGTTTACTGTCAGGTCGCTGTGTTCATGACATGTATTGATCATGTGTGTGCTCTTACTTTAGCCCGTGTTTACACGGCTTTACCGGGCTTACTGTGAGCTGTACCCTGTGGGTTATACTGCATGTTTTACCGTGTGTTTACCTCATGTTCAGCTATGTGTTACTCAGTTTTACACTGTTTACCGTGTGTGTGTGTGTGTGTGTGTGTTTACCGTGTGCAGATGTGTGTGCATCAGAGGCCGCAGCTCCTCCAGATGTGGAGCTCCAGGCGGCTGCAGCGCTGCACTCACAGTCAGCAGAGGTGCAGGAGCGGCCGGGCCCCCGAGAGCCCTGTGTGGAGGAACCCCAGGAGCCGCTGGAGCTGCGGCCAGCCGTCAGTCACGCAGACACTGCAGAGAACCAGAACCAGAACCAGAGCTTCAGCGAGGCGGCGAAGACCTTCAAGGTGAACTGTGAGAAGAGGAACATCAGCGCTGAGGAGCAGCTTACGGTGCAGGTGCTGAACGCCTCTCAGGTGAGACACACACACACACACACACACACACACACACACACACACAGATGTGTAGTTTTATGTATGTATGTGTGTGTGTGTGTGTGTGTGTGTGTGTGTGTGTTCTTCTTTAATGAAGTGTTCACTTGTGTTTTCTTTGATTAATGTTTCAGTTTGTTTGATGATCAGAAATATTAAAGTGTGAGAAACATCAACAACAGAAGTGTCTGTGTGTGTGTGTGTGTGTGTGTGTGTGTGTGTGTGTGTGTGTGTGTGTGTGTGTGTGTCTGCAGGACCTGATGGATCTGCTAAACGCTAACAGCAGTGAGTGCTCTCTGGTGCTCTTCTACACCGGCTGGTGTCCGTTCTCTGCTAGCCTCGCGCCACACTTCAACGCCTTGCCCAGAGCCTTTCCCAGCATGCACTTCCTGGCCCTGGATGCATCTCAGCACAGCAGGTGTGTGTGAGTGCGTGTTGTGTGTATGTTGTGTGTGTGTGTGTGTGTGTGTGTGTGTGTGTGTGTGAGTGAGTGTGAAAGAATGAGTATGTGTTAGTGTTTATGTGAGCGTGTGTGTTGATGATGTGTGTGTCTCCGCAGTCTCTCCACACGGTTCGGGACCGTGGCGGTGCCCAATATTCTGCTGTTCCAGGGGGTGAAGCCGATGGCCAGATTCAACCAGACGGAGAGAACATTAGAGACGCTCACAGCCTTCATCAGCAACCAGACCGGTGCGCCGACACACACTCTCCATCTGCTCTAAACACAGTCACACACACACACACACACACACACACACACACACACCTGACACACTATTAATGCACAATTCTGGAAGGGAACGCTTGATTCTGTCAGTAAATGTTAATTCACTCATTGATACATTTTGTAAACAGTAACAGTTCACGGTAACAGAGTCAACGAGTAACAGAGTCAGCGAGTAACAGTCGACAAGTAATGAAGTCAACAAGTAGCTGAGTCCTTGAGTAACAGAGTCGGTGGTAACATAGTCAATGAGTAACAAAGCCAACAAGAGTCGACGAGTAACGAATTTAATGAGTAGAAAAGTCAACGATGAGTCGATGAGCAGCCGAGTCAACTCTCTCTCACTCGCGCGCGCACACACACACACACACACACACACACACACACACACACACACACACACACTCTCTCTCTCTCTCTCTCTCTCTCTCACACACACACACACACACACACTCACTCAGTGTCTCTCTCTCTCTCTGTGTGCTCAGGGTTTGAGGCGAGCGTGGGTCAGTGTGTGCTGCCGGAGGATCACGCTGGTCCTCTGCCGGCTGTTCCCGTGCGCAGTATCGACTGGCTCTTCGTCTTCTCGGTTCTCTTCATCCTGGGCTTCGCTCTGTACGCCGCCCTGTGCACCGACAGCATCCGCTGGCTCATTCCAGGACAGGACCACGAACACCAGGAGTAGAGCGAGTGTGTGTGTGAGTGTGATCCTGATTGTACATACTTGTGAAATAAAGAACTGTTGGATGGTGAATGGTGCTGTGTGCATCCATGTATGAGGAGCAGGAGTGGAGCGCAGACACTGACGTAGACTTCACTCGCTGCAGTTCAGGAGCAGCATCGCTGTTATTGTTGTTGGATGAAAAGCACTGTGTGCTCCATCTGCTGGTTAGGGATTGTTTAGGGTAAAAGTAAACGCTATATTACATCATGGAGAGGGGTGTGGCTGCAGACCTGGTGCAGTGCAATCCAAACTGCATCCAATGCTTTTTAATTCGTTAGCCTAACTTCACGGTGACGTCAAACAAAGCAAAAAGGCAGAACATTTTATAGGTAATATAAGTTTTTTTTTTCTGTTTTTGTATGTTCTGAACTTTTGTGCTAATCAGGTAACGTTATTGATGATGACAGTCACTTACTGCATTCACCATACGACAAAGCAGCTCCAACTCGCACTAAACACTCGGCTTATGCTAGTTTTGTTGAATAAAATCAGCAAGCAATGCAAAAGAAATATGACAACGAGATGCTGCGCTGCCAGAAACTTGTGTTATTGCCGTCAGTATGAGCAGTGAAAGCAGGAGAGGAGCTGTGTTTCAGGACACGGATTAGATCAAGTTTAACAGGGAAGGAGGACAGTACATGTCCATACACACAAACACAAGCTTTTTGTCAGGAATGCCAGTGCGGTCACTGATGTAGAAAAGTGATGTAAAATTATAATTTCAAGTGACTGTTATCATCAATAACGTTACCTGATTAGCACAAAAGTTCAGAACATACAAAAACAGAAAAAAAATTAATCTTACCTATGAAATGTTCTGCCTTTGTGCTTTGTTTTCTTTGTTTGCTCGTTACTACACCCGTAGACAGCGCTAAAGTCCCGCATCTTCACGCAATAACACTGTCTTGACTAGTGCGGTTGAATGACATTTGTCCTGGGAGCCCTGTACCAATGTGGCGGCGCTATTGACGCATGCTCAGGGTCCGTATGCGATATCTAGTGCTGCGGTCTTCTGATCAGGCGCGCCGCGGACAGCCCCTCAGTGTTTCCCGCTCCCAGTGCAGTGCAGATGATGAGCCTGTTATTACTGCGGCTGACCCCGGGCCTGCTGAGGCCGACACACCGGACCACACCGAG